TGGATATCCGAAAAATTTAAAGGAACAGACAACTAATAAATAAACTACAATAGATAAATTAATTTTAGGATGGTGATCTTTTTGAACTTCTTCGAAAGAGGCGAATGTTTAGTGAAACAGAAGTGTAAATTTTTTAAAAAAATTATTGGGAAATTTTTTTTTTAATTTTTAGGGCAAGCTGTGCAGATTGTCTTTGCCGTGCACTAGCTTATTTACACACTGAACATTTAATAGTTCATAGAGATGTTAAATTGGAGAATTTATTGGTTTATTATATTCCTGACAATCAATCCGGGCAGCGTTTAATGATTAAATTGGCAGATTTTGGATTAGCTTGTCAATTGGAAACTGCAGACCAATTATTGTGAATTTTTTTTATTAATTTTTGATAACAAATTAAAAAAAATTTTTTAAGAATTTTACTTTGTGGTACACCAACATATGTAGCGCCTGAAGTGCTTGCTGAATTTGGGTATTCGTTTAAGGTAGTTGTAATAATTAGAGTCCGGATTTTTATTGAAATAAATTCGCCAAATATGGCCATAAAATATTGAAATAAACTGCCAAAATATTGACAAAAAATCCCGAAAATTAGTGAAATATTGAAATAAATCATGGCTTATTCACTAATAAAAATCTAAAAAAATGTTGAACTTTAGAAAAAAAATTAATTCCGTCTTTAATAATTAATCCCGTCTCTAATAAAATTAATCCCGACTTCGATAAATTGAGTATTTTTACTGTTGTGCATTTTTAGATGGGCTAAATTGGGTAGGTACATTTTGGTGATTATCTTCTGCGGGACATTTGGTGGAGTTTGGTTCAGCGGGACAATTTGGGGATTTTTGTTCAGGGTGCATTCTGGGGACGCCCGCTTCAATATACGCTGTTTTGCCGATTTTTTGGCCGATTTTGCCAGAATAAGTCAAATTTCCCATTTTTAGCGCCGCAGGCGAAAATTTTTAGATTTTTGTAAGGTCAAGAAGCCAAAGTTCTTCACTTATTTCCTAAAATTTATGAAAAATACCAAAATTTTGGTAAAAATATGCAAAAATATTGAAATAATTTGCAAAAAGTACAAAATATTGAAATAACGGGAAAATTGTCAAAATATTGAAATATATTGAAATACAGCTTTGTTCAGAATCATAATATCGAAAAACTAATACCATATTTGGGCTCCTCTCGACAAAGTGTGTTTGCAAAAAAAAGATTTATTTCAATAAAAATCCGGACTCTAGTAATAATATTAATAAAATTTTCCGGAAAACTCTATACTCTTTCTCTTATTTTTTTATTTCTTTCTCTCTGATTTTTCCGGAAACTACTATATTCTTATTTTATATTTTCCGGAAAATATAAAATATTTCTATTCGTTATTTCCAATTCGTTCCGGAATACATATGTTTATTTTTATATCATTTTTCCGGAAAGATTTAATACCGATTTTTCCGTAATATTTTTAATTTACTAATTAAAATATATGTTTCCGGAAAATGTGTATATTATATTTTCTATTTTTAATTTTTTTCTTTTCCGGAAAATATATTATATTTATGTATAATTTCTTTTCTTAATTTTATTCTAATTTTTCCGGAACACATTTACGGAATTTTTTACATTATAAAACATTTTTAGGCTGATTGTTGGAGTGTAGGCATTATTCTCTATTGTCTTCTATGTGGTTACCCACCTTTTGGAGTTGATGAACCTGATGATGTTTTATTTAATCGAATTTTGCGTGGACAATTTCATTTTCCTTCGCCAGTTTTTGATTCAATTAGTAATTCGGCTAAATTATTAATTACACGATTATTAAATACTGATCCGTTTATGAGAGCATCAGCAACAGATGTTGTGGATTGGCATTGGACTAAGGTGAGGGGGGAAATAAAAATTAATTTTTTAGACAATTTTTAGTTTTTTTTTGGATTTTTCGAAAAATTTTGAATTTAAAATTTTTTTAACTTCAAAAAATCAAAAAAAAATTTTTTCAAAATTTTCCAGGGTCTAGCCAATGTTTCACAAGAAAATGAATTAGAAGCAGAAGAACAATTAGCTATAGCAATAGCAGGAATGTTAATGTTAGATGATGATGACGATGAACAACAAAAACAATATTCTGATGATTTTGCAATGTCAGAATCTTCAGCAGAATTTTTCTTTTCTCGTAGGGCAAGTATGGATGAATTATTATGTGAGGATGATAATGATGATGAAGAGGAGGGAGGAGGAGGAGAAGATGGAAAAATGTTGCTATTTTCTTCAATTGCAACAACTACTGCTAAAAATGTGTAAGGAGAAAAAATTCAAAAAAATTCTTTAAGTCCGAAAAAATTTGGTAAAATTCAAGTTCTACCTCGTTTTTTCTACCTCCTTTTTTTTCCTCAACGGATATCGCAAGCCCAAGATACCTTCGATTTGGCCCGTCGAGTCGCATCGAACCATACCAGGGCGTCCCGGATTCGACAATTCTGAACAAAGTTATAGCTCTGCGGTACTTGCTTCCTTTTCATCCTTTTAGTGTCTGTTTGTATGCCATAGGAAAACAGTGTTAAGTTGAGAATTGAAGCAAAGTTTGACTATTTCTAATACGTTGAGGAAGGAAGGGGGGGGGCAAACTTGAATTTTTGCCAAAATTTCAAAAAAAAAAATTTATCTTCAAAATTTTTTGTTTGTTTTAGATTTTCTTCGTCTGCTATAGCTACAGCTTCTTTTTCTGCTACTACAACAAATTCAGTTTCTAACCCTCCAAATGCTCCAATTTCAACAGATGTTACAAAACTGATAAGAAGTGATTCACCTTATGAATTTCCACCAATTCAATTACCTTCAATATCACAATCAATATTAGCCACAGCAATGCCATCATTGTTACCTTCATCTAATACAGACCTTCATTTACTTGAGCAACAACAAACTTCTTCCTCTTTAGCTTCTTTAGCAACAGATAAACGTAAAAGACAGCGTGGTGATTCAATTAAAAAACATCAAAATATTAAAATTGATTTTCAACAACCGCAACAAAAACAACAATTAAATAATGAAAAAGAAGCTTTAGCATCAGTTGATAAAATAATTGCATGTAATACAAGTTGTATTGTTGGAGGTAATAAAGAAACTACTCAAACTACACCAAGAATGCAACGTAAAATAATTTTACCCCAACAACAACAACAATCAACTACTGGTATAAGACGTAAACAAAATTTACGTCATATATCTTTAGATGATAATGGAGTAGTAGATGATAATAATGAAATTGGAAGAATTACTGTTACAAATATAAATAATAATAATAATACACCAACAACAGCAGCAGCACCAACAAGAGCAACAACAACAACAGCAGCAAGTACAGGACGAAGACAAAGAAGGACAGCAACAATCAGATAAATTTAAAAATATTTTTATACAGTCGGACGACCCCAGCGGATCTCTTACTATTAGATATCTTGAAAATTGTACATAAAGAGGTTGGGGGTTAAGTTTGATTTTAAAATAAGCTCTTGTTACTAATTTTAAAAATTTATAAATTTACATATCTTTAAGTATAGTATAGTTGATGGATTTATTTTAAAAAGGGTATTTGTGTGGGAAACCTTTGGATATCAGGATACAATAATAAATATACACGAACCGTAAATTTCCGACGGATATCCTGTCTCTTTCGGATCCATCAGGATTGGTGGATCTTGCTCCACCAACCTTATTTCTTTAGATAACCAATATAAGGGTGTGGGGGGAGGGTTTATTTAATAGTGAGATCCAAAACTATAATTCTTTTTATTATACATTATATATACCTACTTATATATTATATATAATTATGTAAAAATTTACCACAATTTTTGAATTTTTTTTTTATATAATTAGGTTCTCAGTCATTATGGGCAAGAAAGCGTTTCGTTAACTTTTGGCCTTTTCTTGTTTTAAATTACATATATTTTTTGAGTTTATTTTGAAGGTCTTTCTTTAAAAAAATTTTTTTTTGGAAAATAGTCTTTCCTCTCTTTGCCAAAAAATTTAATTTATTTTAAAAAGGGGTATGTGTTTGTGATTGATAAAAACCTTGAAGAGAAAAGTTTTTATATTTATCAAATTTTCTTTTCTTCAGTGACGTATCTATTTTAAATTTTAAAAACACTGAAAATTAAAATTTGAAAGAAAATTATAATCCGTTATTTTTAGCAAAAATTACTTTTCTTTTAATATTAATGACTTTTGGGGGTCAAGTGTGCATAATTTTTTTTAATAATAGTTTCCAAAATATCCTTACAAAATTAACGTTTTATTAAAAGGATAATAGAGAGTTTTTCATTTAAATATTTAATATTCTTGACCCATTTTTCATAATTATTTTTTTATAGTTTTTTAAAAGAAATCTAGGAAATTAAAAAAATTTTAGGCTTAAAATTCGATTTTGTCTTTGCATTTTCCCTGAGATTTTCCCCTTATATTTACAACATCCCATCTCTCTCATTTTTGATAATCACTTTAGTAGTAATCTATTTAATCCATAAATCCCAAATATTTTTTTATCTTTTATCTAATTGAAGCTAGTTAAATCGCTTCTTTTCTTTAATTTTTATATAGTCATCTCATCTCTTGCCCTCCTTTTTTTCTTTAAAATTTGTTCAATATTTTCATGTGTGGTGTGGTTGACCATGAATTTTTTCTTCAAATTTTTAAGGAAAAATGCTGCTCAATTTATTTTTAATAAAATTATTTATTAAAATTTTTGGCTTGTTTAAAATTCTATTTGTCATTTTTGTTGATTCAATAGGTATACCTTCCTCTTAAATTTAATTTTTTATTAAAATTTAAAAAGATGTTTCACTCCTTGATTGTTCCTGTCAACGTTCATTTCACCCAGTTTGTGGGACTGATCAACAAACTTATGATAGTCTATGTCTGTTGGATTGTGCGAGGAGATTTGACCCAGGCATCAGTTTATCCCTTATAAAATCTTTTCTGTTCCTTAGGTCTGACCCTAGCATATGAAGGAACTTGTTGTCCAAGTGCCGAACTTTGCGCTGATTATTTTGACCCTGTCTGTGATCAGTTTGGTCTGTAACTGGCTTAAATGTCCCCATTTTTAAGTAATATATTTTAGGAAATTTTTACGCAAATGATTGTATTTTCGACTTTCACAAATGTGCACAACGTAGGAGCGGTGGACCTTTAATAATTATTGAAGGGAGAGGGGAACAGGCATGCGCAAATGCTATTGCAGCTGCTGCTGCAAGACAACAAACAAAAAATAATAAAAAGAATAATAATTTAAATAATAATATTAAAAGAAATAATAATGAAGAACAAGTTGTTAATAATGGAAGATTATTAATATCAAAACCACCCCCATGCCATTTCTTTTGTGATGAAACTATTGCCCCTGTTTGTGACAGTCAGTCTAGAACGCATAAAAATCGGTGCAAGTAGGTTTTATTTTTTAAATAGGTTTTTAAGTTTGTAAACTTGATGTAAATATTTGTAATAATTTACAACTTTCCGGAAAAGTTTGTAGTATACATATATTCTACAATTCCGGAAACAATTTACAACTTTCCGGAAACTAGTGATATTTAATATCTATTTTACAATTCCGGAAATAATCGTTTTATTTTTCTATTCATTTTACAATTCCGGAATAATTCTATAACATTCCGGAAGCATCTATTCTATTTACTATTTAGTACTTTACAATTCCGGAAACAATTCAAAATATTCCGGAAATTAGTGCTATTTATTATATGTATATTTTACAATTCCGGTAAAAAGATTTATAAATATTCCGTAAAGAGTTGATTTTATTTATTCTGTATTTTACAAACATCTTCAATTATAATCCTACTATATTTTAATTGTAATTAAATTTATTTTATATTCCTTAGTAGTTTATTTTTTACTACTTAACTCTTAGGTTTGAATTAACTGCGTGTAGAATTAATTCACGTGGAATCATCTCAGCGCTTCATATTGTAAAAGAAGGTCCTTGTCGGATAGAAGAAAATAATTTTAGTTCGTTAATTTTTTAATTTTTGAAATATTTTTTTCTTAAAGAAAAATTTCCACGTGCCAATAGTGTTAGACGCCTGGCGCCACCTCACAATTATTTTAACAACATCAACAATGTAGATTCTAATAATCAGAGAATTACAAATTCAAAAAGAAAACTTTCATCGTCTTTCGAATCATTCAATGTTGAAAAGAATGATGGAATTCAAAAAATTTCACCACAGTGGATAACTGGGGTAACTATTATTTGTTTATTTATGACTTGAAGGCATCACATACAAATATTCCGGAAACATTTGAATACCTATTTCACAATTTTTCCGGAAATTATTTTATTAATTACAATTTCCGGAAGCTAATATTTTACAATTTTCCGGAACAGCTTTATTATATTTGGAAAACTATATAATTATTTGTCTTCACAATCTTTCCGGAAACAATTTTATTAATTACGTTTTCCGGAAAAAATTTTATTACTTTCCGGAAATTGTCAAAAATAGAACTTTACAATTTACAAATCATCAGAATTTTGCTTATATTCAGCCCGCTGCATCACCATTTAATCAACACCAACTGGATTTCCCTCCAAAACAAATGTTTAACGATCAAGTTCAGAAGCATCAACCACAACAACAAGGACATCAACAGTGTGATATGTGTAGAGATGAAGGGCCTTTTGATCAAATAGTTCCTGTATGTGACAATACAAATAGGACACATAAAAGTGAGTAGAAAATTCTTTAACGTGCCCTATTCTCTTATATGTAGAGGGGGCTCTATTTTTCAACCATCCTCCACTGGAGGGCTTTATTATGGAGGGAGTTCTAATACAGAAAATACATTATATATCCATTCTAAGGTGTTTGCTTATTTGCTCAATGGAATTGTGAAAGAAGACTACGTGGGGAAGAAGAGAATGTATTCGTCCACGTGGGGGAATGCAATCAAGTTTTTTGCAAATTGAAATTTAAAAAATCATTTTTTCAGGTCTCTCCCATTTTTGTTACTAAAGTTAATTATTTTACTGATTCAATTCTTAATTTTATTTAAAATTAGGAAGAAGACTGCCCAAGTAAATGTAGTCATCAACTCAAGCCTGTCTGTGATTCTAACGGAATTACACATCCAAACCTTTGCGCTTACAAACTTTATCGTTGCCTTCAAAGAAAAGTTGGTAATTAAACGTTCCGAAAAGATTAATATAATTTAAGTTTACAAACTTGAATATTATTTGTAATTTAATAAAAATAAACTTTTCCGGAAGGACTTTCCGGAAAACTTTAAATTTTATTATAATACTAATTTAAAGTTTGCAAACTTAAGTTTATTTTTGATATTTATAATTAAAAAAATAGACGTTCCGGAAAACTTTCCGGAATTTTTTAAACTTCAAGTTTACAAACTTAAATATAATTTTTATTTTATAATAATAACCTTTTCCGGAAGGACAATTACAATTTAAAGTTTACAAATAAGTTTATTTTTTGATATTCGTAATATAATATAAAGTTTCCGGAAAACTTTTCGGAAGTTTTCGCAAACTTGAAGTTTACAAATAATTTTATTTTTCCAGTTGTAATTTAAATAAACTTTCCGGAAAGACCTTCCAGTAAAATATATTTTTCTACAAAGTTTACAAACAAATATTACAATTTATTCCTTGATATTTGTAAATTTAGAGTGGTATCAAATCTACAGGTTGGCTGGTGTCGTTACGCGAGTGTGCAACAACAACCTCAACCTCCTCACATGATCACAATGTTTCCAACAATAAAAACACTTTAATTCCTTCACAACATTCAAAACAACAATTAAAATTAATTGAATGCCCTGATGAGCCAAACTGTGAGGATGAAGTGGAAGAAAATAAAATTCAACAAATTTGTGATAGTGATGGAAAAGTCCATAAGTGAGTAGATTGGAGATTGTTAAGAAAAATTTTTTCCTTGAAGGAGTACTTGCCTTTTTGCACATGCACATTGTTTAGCAGCTAAAACAGGAAAAGCTTTACGCATTATTGAATGTCCTCCTCAACTACAAAATGTTTCTACAACAATTTCCATACCTACAATTCCAACATCAACATCTAGCCAACAAAAACAAATTTCAACAAAATTAGTTCCTCCTAAAATATCAGCCAATTTTGCTTCTATGCCTCCACAACTAACAACTACAACATTAAAAACATTAATAAATACTCAAGAAGAAAAACAAAAGATATTAGATTGTGAACGTAGATGGCATGATTGTGGAGAGTCCCCAAAAGATGCTTATTGTGGATCTGATTTGATAACATATAGGAATTTTTGTGCTATTCAGGTAAATCCGGAAAGCCCTTCCGGAACATAATTTTTTCAAATTTTTTTCTAGAAAGCTTCTTGTCTGGACAACCAAATAGAAGTACTCTTCAAAGGAGAATGTGAAAGGTGTCTATCAAATCCTTGCCTGGCTAAACGTAATACTGCTGAAGAAGACAATAATGATTCTTTTTATGTTTGTGATCAAGGAGGGGAGACTAAGAGTAAATGTGAATTTGAAGTTTTGCGTTGTATTTATGAAATTAAATTTGGCTACAATATTACTGCTGCTTATGTAAATATATACATATTATTATTTAATTACAATTTTCCGGAAAAAAAATTAATTTAACGTCCTTTCCGGAAGTAAAATATAAAATTACAACTTTCCGGAATAGAAATATACTATTACAATTTCCGGAAAGAGATATAATATTGCAACTTTCCGGAAAGAAAGAAATATAATATTACAATTTCCGGAAAGAATATAATACTACAATTTCCGGAAAGAAATATAACACCCTTCCGGAATAGAAATATAATATTACAATTTCCAAAAAAAATATAAATACAATTTATGATTACAATTTTCCGGAAGGAATTAATTTAACGTCCTTTCCGGAAGAAATATATATAATAACAACCTTCCGGAAAGAAATATAAAAACTTTCTGGAAAAATATTAAATTACAATTTCTTGTAAGAATATTTTCCGGAAAAGATATAAATACAATTTATGATTACAATTTTTCGGAAAATTAATAATTTTAATTTTGCAGCAAGGAAAGTGTTGCCCTAGTATCGAGTCATGTACAGGTGGGCCAGAGACACAACCCATCTGTGATACGAACAATTTTCGTCATTCTAATTGGTGCAGCTTTGAGGTGGCAAAATGTCGTTCAATCAAAATTCATCACAAACCGTTGGAAGAACGTGAATGTAATATTAACAACACTGAAAGACGGAAGGAGAATATCGAGGAAAGAGAAGAGGTGTTTCGTCGTTTATGAAAATCTGTCATAATTAAAATAAATTTAACTTATTATACTAGAATTACAATAAATAAATCGAAGATAAATTTATTGGTAGAGATAAGTTCATTCACAGTTGATTTGTAATTAGTGCAGAACATTTATTTATCTTTTAAATTAATGTTTTTTTCCGGATGCTTATTCCGGAAGATACAATTTAAAATTATATTTTCCGGAAAAGAGTTTACAATTTTCCGGATACGAATATACATTTTTCCGGATTACACAATTTTCCGGATACGAATATACATTTTTCCGGATTACACAATTTTCCGGATACGCCGCATATATTTAATTAAATTCCGGAAAAGATTACAATTAAAATTACAATTTTCCGGAAACAGCTAGAACTTATTATATTTTCCGGAAATGACTTTACAATTTTCCGGATACGAATATACATTTTTCCGGATTACACAATTTTCCGGATACGCCGCATATATTTAATTAAATTCCGGAAAAGATTACAATTAAAATTACAATTTTCCGGAAACAGCTAGAACTTATTATATTTTCCGGAAATGACTTTACAATTTTCCGGATACGAATATACATTTTTCCGGATTACACAATTTTCCGGATACGCCGCATATATTTAATTAAATTCCGGAAAAGATTACAATTAAAATTACAATTTTCCGGAAACAGCTAGAACTTATTATATTTTCCGGAAATGACTTTACAATTTTCCGGATCTTCACATATTAAACTTTTCCGGAAAAGATTAATATAAAATTACAATTTAATATTATATTTTCCGGAAAATATTATTCCGGATGAAAAAGACTATATTATTAATTTTACAATTTGTAAAGGAGATTGTAAAATACATTTGTAAAGGAAACCGGACAACAACACGAGGCAGACGTTCATTCTTCTGCAATTTCCCAACAATTATTAACATCCTCAAGCAATACTGATGTACTTCAGAATGTGAGCGTTGAATTGCTTAGTGTAGATCAACTAATATGTAGTGATAAATACGAACCAGTTAATTTAAAAAAATTTTTTTAATTTTTATTTTTCACTTAGTTGTGTGCTAGTGATGGACGTACCTATAGAAATGGTTGCCATTTGGAAAGGCATAATGCTTCAGTAAAAGATAAAAATGAATCCTCTCCTTTAAGGGTTTTATATCCGGGTAAAATTAATTTAAAAAAAAATTTTTTCAATTATTATTTCAATTTTTGAAGGTGAGTGTTGCCCTCAATTAAAATGCCAAGACGACTATGTGCCTGTTTGTGACAGTGAATTTACTACTCATTCGGTGATATTTCTATTTTATCTTTTTTTAATTTTTAAAAAGAATTTCTGTCAATTTTCACACCAACGCTGTTTAGCTGAACGAACAACAGCTCAAAATTTAACAATTCTCTCATATACAAAATGTGATCTTAAAAACGATAATGTTTCTAGTTTGCTTAGAAAATCACTCACAAATGATAGCTTTAATTTATCATAAATAAAATTTTTGAATATACAAAACTGCACTTAAAAAAGAATTTTTTTAGTAAATAAACACTAAATTTGCTTTCTTCCGTCTTGCCAAATTGCCTTTACACACGGAAGCATCCTTTAAAAAAGCATCCCTTAAAAGGCGCTGATTTACCAAAAAATAACATAAAAAGCGTGCCAATTGCCCATTTTATTTACTTTCAATTCAAAATACCTACAACCACCTTAAATTGCCAATACATTATGTTTTCATTCAATTCCCATGGCAACATGAAGGGAAAAAGCAGCTGGACATTATCGCTTATTTGTAAATGGGGAAGAAGGACGATGGTCATTCAAAAAGAATAAGAATAGAAAAAAGGCGGGCATTGTTGAGATTATCTAAATTCTTTTCTAAAGATTTTAGATTTTATTAATCTATTCTTAAAATTAAAAAATGGTTCCGCAACCTTTGCACAATTCAGGGGTAATTGATATTTCCAATGGATTCCGGAAATAGCTGACAAATTCCAAAAAGGCAACTTTTTATTTTATTCATATATGTACTTAAAACAAGTTTCCGGAAAAATATTACGAAATTATAACTTTCCGGATAGAATATGTTTAATATATTAATTAAATTTACAAACTTAAGAATTTCCGGAAAGAATATATGTTTATAATTACAAGCTTACAAACTTAAGAAGTTTTCGGAAAGAATAAATAAAAAAAAGTTTCCGGAAAAGTTATAGAGCTTTCCGGAAGGAATATATCTTAATACTTACAAGTTTACAAACTTAGGAATTTCCGGAAAGAATAAAAATATACACTATCTATATGAATTTACAAACTTTCCGGAAACTGAAGAATCCATAAAATACCTAGTCTACAGGAATCCCCCCCTCAGTAGTACCTTCAATACTTTATATATACTCTTATAATATGCTCGCTTTTAATTGATACATTTAAATATTATTTTTTACTATTTTTGTCCCCCTTATTACATAATATGCCTCATTTATAAAATCCATCCTCCCCGTTTCTAGGACACTCTTAATTGAACGCGCATTGCTTTTTGAGAGTGTTTTTAGACGGTATATTTATTTAAACTTAATCCTTTTTTGACATTCTTTCAAGCTTTTTAGACTTCACATTAGAGTAATAGATAATCCCAAACTTTGTCTTCCCTACAAATTCATCCTCAATTACTCCACTTTTATTTAAACCTCATCAATCCGCCTTTAAAGTAACATAGCTAGCTGTCAACGCCGTCTTCACCGCCACATTGCCATCCATTCAATGTCAGAATCAACAAGAAACGGCCAAAGCGCCATCTACAACTCTTCCTTTTTTATTGGCGCCAAATGCCAATTTTATTTTCATCCTTCGCTAAAAAACCAACAAAATGCTTCTTCAATTCTTTCAAAATTCAATCTTCTTTCTTCCCTTCATTTTTGATTATTTTTTATTGTTTAAAACCGGTGACATCTCTTACAATGTTACATCAACAACAGCAGCAGCAACAACAAAAACCAAAATTTCGGTTACAGCTTGAAGATGTTGGCAATCCTCAGCCTTGCCCCGACAACCCTATACGCCTTTTGGCATCCCGTACACCTCAATATATTTATTCGCCATATGTAAAGTTTATAAAATAATAATAAAATAAAAGAAAATATTACAAACTTAAATTTTTTAAGTTCAAACTTGAAAACTTAAAACTTGTTTGACTTAAGCAAACTTAAATACACTCATAAAAACTTAAGTTTAAGCTTAAAAAGAAAAACAAACTTAAAACAATCTTAAAAACTTAAGTTTAAACTTAAAACTTGTTTTTCCGGAAAATTATGCTCATTTCCGGAAATTATATCTACTTCCGGAATTTTATGTTGAGAATTAAGTTTAAACTTAGAAAAAATAAACTTAAAACTTTGAGTTTTTTCGGGAAAGTATATATTTATTTCCGGAATTTTATTAAATTTAAACTAAAGTATTTTCCGGAAAGTGTATATTTATTTCCGGAATTTTATTAAGTTTAAACTTAAGTTTTCCTGAAAAAAGTAAAGAGTAGACATAACAATAAAAAAATATAACAAAAATAAAACAAACTTTTTTTACAAACTTAAGTTTACAAAACTCTAATTTAAGGATGAAAATAAACTATACCCTCCCGATACTGATTGTCAATTTCTCATTGAGGTGTGTTTTTAAACAAAAAATTTATTAATTTAAAATTAAAGGCTACAGACAAATTTCATAGAATACATTTGACAATAATAGAAAGTGATTTAGAAGAAGCTTTATTTACAGATTGTAATGATTATGTTAGTGTTAGGGATAGAGAAGGTACTATAGTTTAATTTAAAAATTAAAAATGTTTTCCGGAAATATTTTTATTTGTATGTAATATTCCGGAAAGTTTACAATATTTATTTTATAGTTATTTTTCCGGAAAGATTATGCATATTTCCGGAAAATTATAAAAATTCCGGAACTTATATTTATTTCCGGAAAATTATATTTATTTCCGGAAAATTATATTTCCGGAAAATATTTTCCGGAATTTTACGGAATTGTATTCCGGATATTATATTTCCGGAACTTATATTTATTATTTCAATAATATATTTCCGGAAAATATTTTCCGGAATTTTATTTTTATGGAAGTTTATTATATTCTCTCTATATTTTATAGGAAACGAAACTAGTATCAAAGAAGTTGCCCGTTGGTGTGGACAAGGTAGTAATTCAGGCCCTTAGGGTTTTATAAATTATTTAAAATAAATCTCGTTTCTATTTCAATAAAATTTAATTTAAAAATATTTTCCCGTTTAACTTTTTAAATTTAAAGATTATCCCGCTGCTATAGCAAGTGCCAGCGATTCGTTGCTTGTTCACTTTCACTCAGATTCAATAATACAAAAACGTGGATTTAACATTTCTTTTGTTCAATTTGGTATTGTAAAAGCCCTCAAATTTTTTAAAAATTATTTTAGATATTGACACATGCCCTCCCGATTGGATTTCTGATGGAATATCATCCCCATATTGGTAGAGAAATTAAAAATTTAATCGAAAAATAATAATTTCAAGTTATAAACAATTTGTTTTACCTCATATTTTGCCTTGGTATGAGGCCCAAAAGGAATGCAATTTTGAAAGGGCAAATTTGGCGACATTTCAGAATGAAGCGGATTATGCTTTTATTGTTGGTAAGGAGTGGAAAAAATTCAAAAAAAATCAAAAAAATTTTTATTCACTAGAATCCTACTCTCAGACCCATTCTTTCCCTTGGGTTGGTTATTCTGATGCAAATGTTGAAGGTATTTATGAATCCATTGACAGAAATGTGCCTCTTTGGCCGGAAAAGTAAAAAATAAAATTTTAAATTAAAAACTTTAATTAATTTATTTTTCGCCAGTTTTCCTTTAAAACACGAAAATGAAATGAAGGATTGTGTTTATCTTGATTGGAATAAACGAGATCAAATAGTGGTATATGAAATTGACGATTGTCGCAATAGAAGACCATTCTTGTGCAAAAAGAGGAGAGGTAAAACTATAGTGTGTATTTTCCGGAAACATTTTTATTTGTATATATTCCGGAAAATTAAGTCCATTTGTTTCCGGAATTTTATTAATACATAATATGTATATTATTTTTCCGGAATATATTATTTTCCGGAAATCATCCATGAAAGTTTACGATATTTATCAGATTTAATGTTTCCGGAAATTATATTTGTAAATATGTATATTGTAATTAATATATAGCTTCCGGAAAGTTATTCTTCCGGAAAACTGTCCATTTATTTCTTCCGGAATTATATTAATACATAATTAAATTAAATATTACGTTCCGGAAAATTATTCTATCACATTTTATTATTGGAATTAAATTAGTACATAGGTATATTGTATTTTCCGGAAAAATCTCTTAACTTTAATCCTCTTTTACAGACGGTACAGAAGTTCCAGTCGTCTTACCAGCAGGGATGATACGTCGCGGCTTTCGCGATTTTACTATGGATTATACACTTTTGGTTGTAGTTGTGATATTTGCTTTGTTAGCATTAGTAGTTGGATGTGTTTTGTTTCACAAGTATTTACAAATTAGTCTAGAAATTTTCCCTTCAAAATTTTGATTTCAGATACAAGGAACGTAACAACCGAATAATTAATATAGACATGAATCAACGTCTAGTTCAACAACAACAAGGGCAACAACCAGGAAATAAGGATAAAGCTGCCGCGGCTTTAGCAAGGCAAAAAGCTAAGGAGAGGGAACGGCGGGAATTAAGAGAACAAAAATATGCTGAAACTAGTAATAACAACAGCAATAGAGGTGGGAGAGGAGGAGGAGGAGGGATTGCTACAACAAAATCCCCGTTTGAATCCCAAGACAGTAATGCTTCATTTCCTCTACAAACATTCCAATCAACCTTTGCCCAAAGAATGACAACTACAACAACTACGGGGAATGTAGAACCTTTAGATACTGCAGCAGCTTTAGCTGAAGCAACTGCTACTGCTAGTCAACAAATGAGGGAACATGAGGTGATTTTTTGAGTATTGAAAACCTCATTTGTGGATGCCTCCAATACTAGGTACACTTCCATTTAAGAGACTTTTCTTAACTTGGTTGGCCTCTAGGTGGGGGAGGGAATATAGTAGATGAGGAGTTGGAGCAGTACACGCAACACAACCATATAAAACATGTTGAAGCAGTATATTGGGGGAGAGTTTTGGAGGGGGAACAATTCAACCAATATAAACATAAACCCTTGATTTAAAACACACCTCATTATAAGATAACCTCATTTTTTTCAGTCAATGGGTATCTATCTCATAATGAGGTCTGACTATAAAAAAAATTTTTTAAATCGGAAAAAATTTTTTTGAATCATTTAAAGGCCACTAAACTTCATCCACAACAACTTTCAGCAGAAATTGCATCTGTTGATTCTCCACCCGAGGATGATCTCAACTCTTCTCCACGTATTAGAATGAGTCCAAATCAGCCTTCTTTTGTTGAGGAGGGAAGAAAAATTTCTGAGAAAAAAATAAGAAAAGGATGGATGGGTGCTGGTGTAAGTGGTGGGGGAACAACTGATAGGGAAGAGGAGGAAGAAGAAAAAGATAGACACAATATGGGGTATGAACCTGATTCTGAAGAGGAGGAACACGAAGAAAATGAACGGCAAAAAATAAGAAGAGCAAGTAAGATAAATGGTGAAGGGGAGGGAGGAGAAGAAAATTTTTTGATGGAAATGAATGAAGAGGGAGGAAGAAAAAATACTGGAGAAAATAATGGAGAAAACGAGGAGTTGGAGCAGTACACGCAACACAACCATATGGAAGAGGAGTTGGAGCAGTACAGTGGAGGGGAACAATTTAAGCAGTATAAACACAAAAATGTTATAGAATCAGAACAATATGTTAATAGTCAACAATTCAAACAATTAGAGTCTGATGATGGAGGAGAGATTCAACAAAAAGTAGTTCAAGTAGAATTGCATGGAGAAAATGGGGAAGAAGGGGGATTGGGTCAATTTAAAGATAAGAGGACAAAAGAGGAAAGAATTAATAATTTTGATGAGAAAATGATGGATAGTTATGCCATTGGAGATCATTTCAAGGCTGCAAAGGTAGTCATTTAAGGGGTCATTAAGGGTGTGGTCATCTAGTGGTCATTTAAGGGTGTGGTCATCTAAGGGGTGTTCATCTAATGGTCATTTAAGGGGGTGATCATCTAGTGGTCATCTAAAGGGGTGGTCATCTAATGGTCATTTAAGGGGGTCATTAGAGTCCCAATTTATTTTTCCTCTTAATTTTAAAGGTGGCAACATCAGCAATCGCTTCAGCAGCCATAGCAGCCACCGAACATCCAGTTCGACCACCTATTGAATTAATGAGAACTACTAGAACCACTTCTACAGATAAAACAAAAACACCCCCACCAAAAGAAGCAAAAGAGAGTGAAAAAATAGGGGAATCCGGAAAAAGTTCTAGGGAAGCAACAAGAGAAGGGACAGAAGAAAAGAGAGAGGAAAAAGAAACTTTTCCGGAAAAAGTTTCCGGAAAGGGTAATATTCCTTCTAGTACAGCAAATCTAGTAAAAACAGAGGGAGAAGGAGGAACAAGAATTCGAATAAAAAGAAAAACTTTTGATCGTCCTCCCCCAGTTGGCCCTTTAGATAATGTTTCAGCAATATCGTTAGACGAATTTTGGCAACAACAGAAATAATTTTTAAAAAATAAATATTTTTAAGGCAATAAATTAACATTTTTGATTAAATATACTCATTAATTTTAAATATTTTGCTAATCCAAAAAAGCTAGAAATTTTTAGTTTGTCTAGATATAAAATAAATTTTAAACATGATTAATTTTTGATTAATATTAGGGTTTTAAAATGGATAGAATTTCTGTGGGAAAGGTAATTTTCGGAAAGGGGTTTTTCCGGAATATATTCTATTCCGAAAAAAAAATTCCGGAATGTGAATATATTTTCCGGAAAGTTTTAATATTACAAATGAAAAACATTTCCGGAATATATTATAAATGTTTTCCGGAAAATATAAAATAGATATTTTCCGGAAGAATGTTTATAATATTTTCCGGAAGGTTTAATAATACAAACCCTTTTCCGGAAAATATAAAGATTTTCCGGAAAGTTTTAATATTAAAAAGAAAACCAATTCCGGAATATCTAAATAAATACGTTCCGGAAAATATAGCATAAATACTTTCCGGAATAATATTTATAATATTTTCCGGAAAGTATATTTACCGGATACAAAACATTTTCCGGAAAATATAAAATATTTTCCGGAATTTAAATAAAAACAGTTGAACAATATGAATAACCATTAAAAATCAAAATAATAAAAAAATTAATGAATTAAAAAATTATTATAAATATATCGTTCAACTAATAATCAAAAAACAAATTTTTAATGAAAAACAATTAATTTTTTTATTTTTATTGGTTATTTATAGAAGAACGGGAGAGGAAGATATATTTCCTTTCAACAAAATGACCCAAAAAATCGCCCAAAATCCTCCTTCATTAATTTCTTGTTACTTTCTTTAATTTTTTTTCGTTCCTAAAAACAGAGTTTATCCTTAGGCGGTGTTTGTAGATGACCACAGAACATCCAAAAAATTAAAAAAAAAACAAATTAATATTAAAAGAGAGATTTAAAGAGGGGATAATTATAATTAATCCAAAGAAAATAATCCAAAAATGAAAATAAATATAAAATTTATTCTTCTCCTTCCAATTTTATTAAATTTTCATTATTGTTTTGGATACTTAATTAAAGAAAAACAAAAATATACACCTTTAAACCTTCCAAAATCTTCTTTTATTAATGTAGACATCTTGTCCCACAAAAATAAAAATAATTTTATTAAATCCAAAAATTTGGTTAAAAACGAGGAAAAATTGTCAGAGGAAAAATTAACAGAAAAAAATAATATTGAAATAAATAAAAATAATTTAATTACAAAAAGAAGAGAAGGATGGGCACGCGTCGAGACTGGTAATATTTGCTTTTAATATTAAAAAGAATTTCCGGAAATATATTTTCCGGAAAGTTTAATATAGTAAAAGAACATTTTCCGGAATATTCTATAAATAATTTACTATTCCGGAAAGTATTATTTTAGGAACATTTTCCGGAAAATATAAATAGTTAAACATTTTATTGAATATTCTTTTCCGGAAGAGAATTCCGGAAAATAAATATACAACATTTTCCGGAATATTTTTATGAATGAACAATTTTCCGGAAGATATAAAACAAATATCTATTTTCCGGAATGCATACAGTCTATTTAAAAAAATTTTCCGGAATATTCTATAAATAAATAATTTACTATTCCGGAAAGTATTATCTTCAAGAACATTTTACGGAAAATATTTTATTCTAAGAAGAAAAATAATTTCCGGAAACGATATATTTTCCGGAAAGGTTTAATATTACAGAACAAAAACAACATTTTCCTATAAATGTTCTATAAATAAAATATTTTCCATAAGAAATAAGTATTTTTCCGGAACTAGTTTCTAAATTTACCAAATTAAGCAAAAATATCTACGCATAATTCTCTAATAAAACCTCAAGCTTCTCAACGGTTGCACGCTTCACCTTCTCTTGTATTTAGACAACAAAATAAAAGGAAAAAGGAGGTAGACCAACAAATTCAAGAAGGCAAGTTAGTAAAAAATAATTAAAATTAATTTTTTAGAAAATAACCACCCTTCAATATTCGAGGGACGCGAATTCTGGGCTGATGCATTAAAAACGCTTATATTAAAATTTAAAAGAATACACCCAGAATTAGTTCATAAAAACAAAAGAAGAAAGAAATTTAAAAGAAAGAAAAAACATTAAATTTGAGTGAATTAATTATATTTTCCGGAAAGTATATAATTTTCCGGAAATAGTATAACTATAAAAAGAAAATAGAAATAAACTTTCCGGAAAAATAGAAAATAATATTTTAAATAATTTCCGTAAAGACTATAGTTAATAAATAAGCTTTCCGGAAAAGTTCTTTTCTTTCCGGAAAAAATAGTAACTATTTAATTTATTAACTATCTGCTTTCCGGAAAGTTTATTTTCCGGAAACAATTCTGGTTAGAAAATACATTAAATAATTTATTCTCAAATTAGTAATTCTTTTTTTGCCGTCACACCTCTTTTTAAAAAATCTTTAACCAAAAATTTTATTTTAAATAAAATTTTAATCCTTTATCTGTCTAAGAACTGGAATTTTTTATACCTTTAAGTTGACTACTAACTCCTAAAAAATTAAATTTAAAAAATAAAATTTAAAAAACAACCCATTAAAGATATTTCAATGCGGTCTAGTTCACGTGGTTGCTTAGCTTGTTTAATTTCTTCCAAACAAAAAGAATATAATTCTAAAAGTATTTGACGCCTTTTAACACAAAGCTCTTTGAAATGAATTAGGCATTCATTTGTAACTAACTCGTCATCATCAAAAGACAATTGTTCCGGCCATAAATATTCTTTTTGATTTATTTTCTAAAATAGGACAGAATTTATTGAAGTATTAAAACTGTTAGATGCTTATTTATTAAAAATTTAAAAAATCCGAATTTTTATTTCCGTTAAACTTTTCACGGAAAAGACACTTTTAGGAAAATATATACAAATAGCTTTCCGGAAAGTTTATTTTCCGGAAACAATTCTGGAAACAACTTTTTCCGGAAATAAATAACCACCCAACCCAACACTTTCCGGAAACCTAAAATTTAAAACATTTCCGGAAAAAACTCGAAACTTTTTATACTCGAAACCAGAGCTGTAACCAAATTTTCTTTTCGACTTGTCTTTAATTTTCAAAGATTTTTAAGTTTCGAAGCTGCTCTGATTGAAACTTACATTTTCAAATTTTTTGGCTTTTGAAGCTAAACTTTTCATAATAAATTTAAATTTAAAATATAATATATCTAAATTAACACATAAACTAAGCATTACAATAATATGAGTTTCAGATTCTATATCTGCTTTTTCTTCCAAAGTTTTTATAATTTTTTTATTTTTTTTTATCAACTTATTTCTTAACTAAAAATTAAAAAAAATTATATAAATTAATTTAAAAAGCTAATACTTTGATTAAATAAATTAAATAATTTTGTTGAAATTTTAACAAAAAATAGTCAAATACTTTAGATATTCGAATTCTAATCCATTTTAAATTAAAAGGTATAAATTTAATTAATTCAGATAATAATTCGTTGGGTAATTTTAATTTGGGGTTTACTTCCATTTTTGGTCGTGTAACAATGTCAAAAAGCAAAGCGAAGCAATGAGGACAATCAATAATATGTAACTAAACTTTCCGGAAAATTTTTTTCCGGAATAGACAGAAAAATTAAAAATTAAATTAAAACAATTTCCGGAAGGAATATAATTAATAAATAAAGTGAATTAATTTTTTTCCGGAAAGTATAATATAATTTTCCGGAAATAGTATAACTATAAAAATAAAAATAAACTTTCCGGAAAACTATTTCCGGAAAATCAGAAAATTAAACTCTTTCCGGAAGGAATATAACGAATAATTATACTCTCCGGAAAGTTTATTTTCCGGAAAAAGTTCTGGTTAGAGAAATAGATTCAAGCTCAAGGTGTATATTTCGTCTCTGCCCTTCCTTTTTTTAAATTTTTCTAGCAAATTATTTTAAATAAAAAAATTTATTTTAAATGAAAGACAGTATATAAATTGATATATTTTAAAAAATGAGGGATTCTTTAAAAAATTATATTTTTATAATTCATCTTCATCCGGTTCCTTTCTAGTACAATAACAAGCAAGTCCAACAAGTATAGCGAAAAAGAAGAGTGAACAAAAAAGTAGCAGCCAAGTTGCCAACTGATAATCTCCCAATTGTTTATCCAATAAAGTTATTTTTTGCATATTTCCGACATCGACTGAATCCAAGTGGCGGACTTAAAAAATATTGTACGCAAAAATTTGTCCGCAAAAATTTTTGTCCGCAAACTTTTTGTCCGCAAATTATTGTCCGCAAAAATTTTTGTCCGCAAACTTTTTGTCCGCAAATTATTGTCCGCAAAAATTTTTGTCCGCAAATTATTGTCCACAAAAATTTTTTGTCCGCAAAATTTTTGTCCGCAAAATTTTATCCGCAAATATTTTTTTCCGCAAAAATTTTTGTCCGCAAAATTATTGTCCGCAAAAATTTTGCGGACAAAAAAATTTTCCGCAAATTTTGTATACAAAATCAAAAAAGACACACCATATTTATTCCAAAAAATGTGTGCCTGCCATCTAAACCCAACTCTCATTGAAGGAGAGTCTGTAACAGACAAATGATCCAATTCTCCAGTTGAACTAGAATTCCAATTAAAATTAAGACGGGCAGATTCGGGGGTTGGGTCGCTTAAATTGAAATAAAAATACAAAAAACACAAGAAAAATACAAACTCGGTCTTCAAAAAATTAACAATCATGTCTGCAAATAATTCTGTAACTCGCCTGTCCAATTGCCAGTTTCTGTCACGCCTGGTTACTAGAAAGCGGCGTTCAAGTTCGAAGAGAAAAATTTCGTCACAGCCATGGAAGACCCCTTAGTTATAATTGTATTTTAATAGTAAATGTATTTCAGAATAAATGACATGTATTTTCCGGAATTTTCCGGAAATATATATGAATAGATTTTCCGGAATGTTTTATTAATGTAATGAAAAATAGATGTATTTTCCGGAAAATAGAATACTTTTCCGGAATTTTTAATTTATTTTTCCGGTATGAGAATATAGTTTCCGGAAATATAATAGTTTCCGGAAGATATCTTATTTATTCTTCCGGAAGGGAAAATACATATATTCTTCCGTATATTAATAAATACATATATTAATAAATACAAAATACATATATTAATAGTTTCCGGAAAATATAACTCTATTTTCCGGAATGTTTTATTAATGTAATGAAAAATAGATGTATTTTCCGGAAAATATAATACTTTTCCGGAATTTTTAATTTATTTTTCCGGTATGAGAATATAGTTTCCGGAAAAATATAATAGTTTTCCGGAAAACATTTTATTTATTTTACCGGAATGGAAATATATTCTTCCGGAAAATATTAATATTTTCCGGAATTTTAATTATTTTTCCGGAATAAGAATAAATACATTTCACGGATATACAACTCACAGTTTGTTTCAAAGTTCTCGCTAACATGATCAAACGAATAGAGAAACACAGGCATTGCTTGGCGGGCATAATAAGTTGCCAGTCTTGATGTTGGAGCATCATACCAAAAGTGGGAGAACATCTTTTTAATTTATTTAAAAATTAAAAAATTTTTTTCAAAAATATTTGCCTTCAAAATAGACTCGTTAAGATGTGGGGATTCTGATGGGTCTACTTTACTCCAAATATATTCGTGTTTTGTTGCCTCTCCAATTAATTGTTTATTTGTGAAGCCAGTATATGAGCTTGTTAGGTTGGTTACTAATTGTTCTGCTTCACTGATTAGTAGACCCTCACTCAGATTTACCGGTTTTTCTTTTAGCAATACTGAAAAATAGAAAATATATTTCTTCCGGAATTTTTTTCCGGAAATGTTTTTAATTTTAAAAAGGTAAAAATAAATGTATTTTCCGGAAAATGAGAATATTTTTCCGGAATATTCTATTTATCTTTCCGAAAAATATGAGTCGTTTCCGGAATGTTCTATTTATCTTTCCGGAATATTATTAATAGACCCTCGCTTAAAAATAAACTTTCCGGAAAGCTTATTTATTTGTTATATTCCTTCCGGAAATTGTTTAATTTAATTTTGTTTTTTCCGAAAATAATTTTTCCGGAACTCCAGTTCCCTTAAAAAAATTTTTTAAATTACATATTTGCAGGGCACTCTCATCCCTCGTTGTTCCAAGCATTATAGGCATTTTTCTCCGTGAAAGTGCTAAAGATTCGGGGTCATCAGGTATTATCCCTTGTTCTCCATCAATAATAGGGACAAATAAATCGTAGTCTGGGTCTGGGTCAGGCTTTAAAAATTTTTTTTGAAATTTTCAAAAATTTTTGAAAAATTTTCAAAAAACACCTGAAAATCAAGTATTTCATCTCTCAATTGTTTTTTAAAGCATTCCAGTAATTCCGAAGAATTAAATGAGCGACAATGCAGACGGGCATCTAACGCCCATGTAGCGTTAATTGCTGTGTCGCGGACAGTCCCGGGGGTTCTTAGAATTTTTTTGATTAATTTAATTGAATTTATTTAACAAGTACATAGCTGTTCCACTCATTAACATAATTTTATGGAAAAGCCCTTCAGCTTTGGGGGATAGTGCCAAAAGGGAAGCAGCCGAAGCGCCTGAACCGTGTCCCATCAATAAGACTTGAAAAATAAAAAAAGGTGGGATTAAAAAATTTTTTTTCGAATTTTACCGTTATTAGGGTCTCCTCCAAATACGTGAGCCTTAAAAAATTTTTGAAAAATTTTCAAAAAAATTTTAATTTCCATACATTTATTTGCACCCATTTCAATGCCAACAAAATATCCCATAGACCCAAATTGCCTGGAAGAACAGAATCGCCTGTAGAGAGAAATCCCATGGGGCCAAGACGAAAGTTTAATGAAACAAAGACTACTTTGCGAGAAACAAAATTGTTTAGAATTGCGTGTTGAGGGTCTAAAATTAAATTGTTTCTGTATTTCTGTACTTTTGGAGTTTATTATATTAATTTAAAATTAGTCTTAAGAGCAGTCTTTAAAGGATTTCAATATGTTAGCGTTTTGGTTAAGTGGTTAGTCACCTTGATTTTGGGTGGTAGTGAGGGAGGTTCGATTCCTATGAGGGTTATTCCTTTTTTCTATCCTTATAGAATGTTATTTAAATAATTTTTCCATTTAAATTTTATTTTTAAAAATTTTTAAAAAATTAAAAAAATTTTTTTTAATTTAATTTTTACTTAGTTTCAGTATAAAAATAAAAAAAACTAACAGTCAGCACTCGACCCATACTGAAACCGACCACCATGTAAAAATACAATAGTTGGATAAGAATCATTAGTGAACTAAGGGTAAATTAATTTTAAATTTAAATTAGAATTTAAATACTTGAGGAGGCGCAAAAACGTTTAAATAAAGGCAATCTTCAGAAATATGAATTTTGTATAAATTTAAAGGGTCTATGGCTCTGTCTCTTTGGCGTTGAGCACACATCTTTTAAAATTTAATAAATTTATTTTCGAAAGGAAATTTGGGGGAAATTAATTTTTTAAACAAAATAATCTACCGGAGCATATTGTGAAGCATTCATTACCCCTCTCCATTTGGCTGGAAGTTCGGGGAGTTGGAAACGGAGAGAGCCTACTGGGGGAGCGGCATAGGGGATACCCTTAAAAATTTAAATTTTATTTTTTTTCTGACTGTTTTCCAACTTTAAACACAGCAAATTCATTAGCTCCAATGGTCTACAAAATTAAAAAAATATTAAAATACCCATAAATTCCCTTCAAACCAAATATTCCCCACGTATAGAGCCAGAATCTATTGTTAATTCTATCGGATGGCTTTTCCGAAGGAAAGAAGGTTTAACATGATTTCTGTGGGTATTATTTCTGTGTTTATGATTTTCTATTATTTGTTGTCCTTTTCCTTCTATATTTTCGTCTAATTGGGTATAGGCATAGGAAATTGGTGAATTTTGAAAATTTTCTTCTAGAAAAACTCTTCCAGGCGGCGATTTTACTACGAAAGCAAAAACTACAAAAATAGCCCCTATTAATATTAATATAATTGTTGTTGTAATAATAGAACATTTGTTAATTGAAGAAAAGGCACGGTGAAGCAAGTGCATAATAATACACTAATATTCTGCAAACTTGAAACTTTAAGTGTGTATTTTAAGGGAAAAGAATATAACTTTCCGGAAAGAATTGTAAAATATATTCCGGAAAAATATATTAACACTAAACTTTCCGGAAAATAAATAGATGTATAGGAAATAGAACTTTCCGGAAAGAATTATATTTATGTATTAAACATTCCGGAAAATATTAAATGTATTTTTAAACGTTCCGGAAATGTTTTATTTAAATTCCGGAAAGAATTACATTAAACTTTCCGGAAAATAAATAGATGTTGCTTTCCTTCTATAAAATTTTCCGGAAAGAATTGTAAAATATATTCCGGAAAACAAATTAAAAATCTGCAAAATACTTGCAACTTTCCGGAAATAGAAAATTAAAACTTTATATAATTTAACATTTATTTTTTATTGACGCTATCACAGAAAAGAAACAGCCAAACGTTAACTATTTTTATGCTTCTTCTTTTAAGGGGTTTTTGTTAAAGACAACAACAATGGCATTTTTAGTGGAATAAGTAAAGGGATATCCCAAACATGCTTAGACAAACTCTAAAAAAACTTGGAAGCAAATTGCTGAAAAATATAACAAAAGAAAGAAAAAGCAATTCATCAACAAAAAAAGCAAAATTGGAGGGAAATTTTTTTATTTAGAAAAGTATTTTGATTAAATAAAAATTAATTTTCTTGTGGTTATAGAATTAATACTTACTGAATAAATTAATTGTAAAAAAGGTTCCGGAAGCTTTCCGGAATGTTTTATATAAATATTTAATCTATGCTTAATTTCCGGAAAAGTATATAAAGTATTCCGGAAAGAATTATAAACTTTCCGGAAAATACAAAAATGTATTTTCAAGAAGAAAACTGTTTCCGGAAACTTTCCGGAATGATTTATATTAATATTATATCTATGCCTAATTTCCGGAAAAGTATATAGAGTATTCCGGAAAGAATATTAAACTTTCCGGAAAATACATAAATTTCCGGAAACTTAATAGAATCTCTATTAATATTCTTTCAAGTTTTCCGGAAAGTTTTTTATTAATATTCTATTCAATTTTCAATTTTAGCTTTCCGGAAAGTTTAATATATTCTATCCCCTATAAACATTGAATGAAGTTATATATTCTTTACGTCATTGGTCAGCTGAAAGAAAAACCAAAAAGCTTCTTTAAAAAGTACTAAATTTCGTGAGAGTCAAAAAGGAAGTGAAAAAACATAAAACATCAATTTTGGCTTTGCTTTTTTATCTTTTTTTCTTCCAAAAAAATATATACATTTCCTAAGGATTTTTTGATATAAAATTTTGAAGAAAAAAAAAGATTTAGCAAAAAAAAAATTAATTTTTTTTTCTTAAAATATCTATTGGTCAAGTTTAGGAAAAATTTGACAAAAAAATAATTTTAATAAAAAAAAATAATTTGAAAAATAATTTTTAAAAAATTAATTTTAATTTTTAACAAAGCCAAGAAAAACTCCTTTCCAATTCTTTTTCACTTCTCAATTTATTTATATCCCCCTCTCCTTCAAAAATATTTTTTACCAAATTTTCTCCTTTTTCATTATTAAAATTAATAAATGGCCTAATATCCTCCAAAATTGTTTCTGTTTGAATAAATGAAGACAAATTTGTTTTTAAATCGTTTATAAAATCGACAATTTTTTCTTTTTTACCTTTAAAAATAAAAATAATTAAATTAAATATAAATATTTAATCACCTCGTTTAACAAGTTTTTGGAGATACAAAGCTGCTAGGAAGCGATATTCTTCTCGTGATTCTAATTCAAAAGCCTTTAAAAATTAATTAAAAATATCAGAATAAAATATAAAACTTTTCCGGAAAAATAGAAATAATACATATAAGAAAAATGAAATATGAAAGATTCCGGAAGGAATATAACTTTCCGGAAAAGAAATAGAGTAAATAAAACCTTTCCGGAAATAGTAAAAAAATTCCGGAAGAGAAAAATAAAATATTTTTCGGAAAATAAAAAAATAAACTTTCCGGAAAGGAAATAATTCCGGAAGAGAAATAGAATAAATTAAACCTTTTCCGGAAAATTCCGGAAAAGGTACATAATAATTTTGAGAAAGAATATTCTTTCCGGAAAATAAAATATTAAAGGAAAATGTACTATAAAATAGAAAACTTTCCGGAAGAAAAATAGAATAAATTAAACGTTTCCGGTTAAAATTAAAATAATAATAAAAAATTTCCGGAAAAGAAAATTAAAATAAAACTTCAGGAAAATTCCGGAAAGAATATCAAGTAAAGAAATATAACCGGAAATTATCTTCCTTCCGGAATTTATATTTTATTTTCTTTCCGGAAAATAAAATCGAATAAATAAAACATTTCCGGAAAGGAAATATTAACTGTTTATAGTTAATAATAAATATTCTACCGCTCTAAGTAATAATTCCAATTGTGCCTCTTCATTTGATGCTGCCATTTCTTCACATTGAGAATTTACAGGTAATTTATTTTTATCATTAATTAATTGCTTTAAAATAAATTTTTATATTTTTTAAATTAAATCCCCCTACCAATTTCCCAATTAAAAGAGAAATTAATCCATTAGGTAAAGAATTTGCTATAAATTGCATTGCTGTCAAAAGTGAAGACAAAGAAGTATCAAATAGCCCTCCCCCACATTTTTGTTGTCCAACAATTATACACAACCAAGAATTGAGTGAACGAGAAAATAGAAAAACTTCTCCATTTGAAAGGGCAATTAAAGGTAAACCGTTAGTTGAAAGACAGAGACGAACAATTTTAAGGGAGGGAATTGGGGCACCTGAAATATAATGATTATACTTTCCGGAAATATAGAAAATAATTTTTCCGGAAACTTATATACAATATTTTCTTTAATATTCTATTTTCCGGAAGACTTGACTATAATTATTCATATTTTTCCGAAAAGTTCCGGAAAGGTTTATTCCCTTATATTTTTCCGGAAATATAGAAAAAAGAATTTTCCGGAAACTTTACTAACATTTATATATTCCTTAAGTAAATCTTTCCGGAAAAGTTTCTTATATATTTTTTTCCAAAAAGTATATATAATAAAATATATAACAATTTCCGGAAAATAAAAACAGATAAAAGATTTCCGGAAATATAATTTTCCGGAAAAGTCTATTTTCCCATATTTTCCGGAAACTATATAAAATATATAGAAATTTCCGGAAAGAATAAAAATAAGTATAAACCTTCCGGAAATATGTAAAATAGATTTTCCGGAAAAGTTTTATTCATTTATATGTAGTTATTTTTATATTTTCTTTCCGGAATTATTTCCTAGAACTATAAATAAATTTCCAAAAAAATAAAATAATCAATTTCAAAGAGAAATATAAACTTTTCCGGAAATATATTCCGAAAAGGTTTTAATTAAAATAAATAACCATGTCGTGCAAGTAGAGTCCCAACAGACGTTTGCAAAATTCGTGTAGATTTTTTTAAATCCCTTAAAAATTTTTTTGGATGAAAAAAAATTTTCTTATTCTTACCAAATACTTAATTCTCCATTAATTCCAATTGTTAAACAAAAATCAGATTTAATTTCCAAAAAGGCAATAGCACTGCCCGTGTGGAGGGATAAATGGTTTATTCCACTTTGAGTATTAAAAATCATTAAATTATTGTCTTCGAGTGTACAAACTGTCCAAAATCTTTAAAAATATTTCGAAAAATACAAAAAATCCAAACTTGTTAGCTCTAAGCAAAAGAATTGGAGAGGCAACTGTTTGAGTCCATCTCAATTCTCTGGCAAATTTTGCCTGAATTTTGGCATATTTTAACGTCTTTTTGGTATTTATTGAATTTTTGACTAAAATTTGGTCAATATTACAGGTTGGGGACTTTAAAGGAAGAAAAATTAATTTTAAAAAAATTTAAAAAAACCAAAGGAACAGCAAAACACAAAAATTTTTGAATTTGTGGAGTGGCCATATCAACAGAATCTGAAGACGGGACATTTTGTAAATCTGAAGGTCTAAGCAATGGAGTTAATTCTGCAGAAGAATTTAATTTTTTGAGTTGTGGTAAAGGCGTCAATTCTTCCACCTTAAAAATTAATAAAAATTTTAATTTTTAAAATAAAATTTTATTTTTTATTTTAAATGATAGACCAGAATCTCCTCTTTCGTTTGATATAAAATTCAAATTTTTAGGTTGGAGTAAACTGAAGTTATGAATTTTCAAAGAGATGGAAGTGCGTGTTCTTGGGAGTTAATAATTTCAAACGTTTTCCGGAAAGAAATAAAATAATTAAATAGAGTATGAAACTTTCCGGAAAACAATATATTAATGTTTCCGGAAAGTTTTGTATTTTTATTTTTATAAAATACAAAACTTTCCGGAAAGAATATAACACTAAAAAAATTAAGGGAAAAATACAGAACTTTTCCGGAAATAAATAAATATAAAACTTTCCGGAAAACATTATATTATGTTTCCGGAAAGTTTTGTATTTTTCCTTCCGGAAAGGTTTGTATTTTATTTTTATAAATAACTTTCCGGAAAGAAATACACTATCAAAAAAATTAAGAGAAAAATACAAAACCTTCCGGAAACAAAACAAAACACAATTACCTGTCCATTTCTTTCCAGACTTTCTACCGACAGACAATTAACCGACGACGCTTGTTGTGTTGAACTAACTGAAGCAGACGCATTTGAATTAATTCCATTTAAATTATTTTTAGATTTTTCTTCTTCCACTTGTTTTTGTTCATTAATTATTTGTTTATTTATATTTTGTTCAGAAATTTTATTGAAAAATAAACGTGTCGGTTGTCCCTGCGACTGCTGCGAGGATTGCTGCTGGGGGGAATTTGCTCCAAATAAATTTGTTGCTGAATTAATTAAATTATTTATTCCAATATTTAATTGAGAATTGAACAGAGGATTGCTGGGACTAGAAAAAAAATTTTTTTTTAATTTTTAAAAAAATATTTTTCAAAAGGCAAACCTATTTTCAGTCATTCCACTTCCCCCAATTCCTCCCAGAAACACCGGCTGTATTTTTCTTTTAATTGGAATTGGGTTTGATGTTGTTGGGGTAGTTGGCTGTTGATTAAAACGTTTCATTTCCTCTAAAAATATTTTAAAAAATTTAAACAATTAAAAAATTCATTTAATGGGGGAAAAAAGGAAAAAAATTCATTAGACTCTAATGTCCAAATTAATTAATTTCTTAAATTTTGGCGTTCTGATTTTTTTATTTTTTTGAACGATTTCTTGCATTTATCGACTTGTAACTTTTTAATGATCGTTTAGACTTGATCAATTCAGTTGGAAAAAAGATAGCGCCTATCAAGGGCTTTCGAATGATATAAAATTTAGTCGGATTGGATCAGGCATCTAGAAAGTTATGACCGTTGAAAGTTGCTCAGTCTCAAGAAAAAAATATTTTAACGATTTTTCCAATCAAAAAAAAGAAAAAAAATTTTTTGAGACTTTTAATATTTATACAAAAAAATAACAAAAATATTTTCCCAAAAATTATATTTTCTTCTCCTTTTCCCTTTCCTCTTCCTCAGTTTCCCCAACTCTTCCAAGCCCAATCCATTCAATAAACTTTTTATGCCCTTCATAAAAAGTAAAAGTTCCAATTAAAACTAATATTGTTGATAAATAGTGTTGCCAATCAAATTTATGTTTAAATAATAAAATTGAAAAGAAAATGTTTAGAAATTTTCGGAGAGTTAGAAGCATTGTAATTTGTAGGGAATTTAATGTTGAAGTTAGACGGTAAACACTTTGAATACAAATAAACCTGAAAAAGAAAAATAAATAAAACTTTTTACAATTTGTAAAGTTTATTTAAAAAGAAAGTTGAGACAATTACAAATTGTAAAAAGTTTATTTATTTTTCTAAATAAAACTTTTTACAATTTGTAATTGTTGCAACCTTATTTTAAATAAACTTTGCTAGAATTGTAAAACTTAGTGACAAAATACAAAACTTGAAAATACACTTTCCGGAAACTAAAATACACCTTTTTGCAATTTGTAATTGTTACAACTTTATTTTCGAAGAATTGTAAAACTTATTACAACTTTCCGGAAAACTTGAAAATAAATAAAACTTGGAAAACCAACTTTCCGGAACAAATAAAAATAAATTAAACTTTCCGGAAAGAAAATAGAAACCGGGTAATTAAAATATTAAAACGAAAATAAAACTTTTCCGGAAATTACAAAATATTCGCAAACTTGAAACATTTTTACAAACTTAAAAAAACTTAACTGTAAACAAATAATAGCACCCACAAATCCGAACATTAATATTTTATTTGAAGCATTCCAATAAAAATTAAAATCATTCCAAATTTCATTACCAACAAAAACAAAAAGGGGGAGTGAGAGGAGATGCCAAAAATAAATTTTAAAATTAATTTTCTTAATTTTTTAATTATTTACCACATAAAACATCATTTCTTCTGGATATTTTCCATATTTAGCAAAAATGTTTTCTTGTAAAATACCCAAATAGGCCGAAGCAAACATTGTTAGGAATAAAATTAAAATTCCAAAAAATAATATGGGGAACCCAAAATTATTTTCTTCTTCATTTAAAGTAGGTTGTTGACTATACAACGTGAAGCAAGTTATCCCTAAGGTTACAGCCAAGATTGAAACAATCCTGCTAGTCGAATACCTTCTATTTTGAAGTAGAAAGGTTAAGAGGACGTTAGCTACTAGGGTACCCTTTGAAAAAAATTTTTTTTATTTTTAAAAATTGTTAGAAGCAACTAACAGAGCGTGAAACAATAATTAAGGGGAAAGGAACGCCCAATCCAATAACCCAATTATTCGCTAAACTGACAACAAAAAATATTAGAGTAATTAACACATAAGAACTGAAAGATTAAATTAAATTTTAAATTTAAAAAAATTAAAAACCTTAGAGGAATGTGCCTTCTTAAAAATATTTGTTTGCTCAACAACCCATTAATTACCATAAACAAAAATGTTGCAAATGTTAAAAAACTAAGTGTCGAACGACCAGTTAAACTTAAAGGAAAAATAAATAAACTTTTTGCAATTTGTAAAAATTGGATTGTAATTTTTATATTTTTATTTAAAGTTTTACAATTGCAAATTTAATAAAACTTGAATATGTAAAAATTCAAGTTTGAACTTTCTTCTTTTTACAATCCAAGTTTTATATTTCTACAAATTGTAAAACTTAAAACTTATATTTTTACAAACTTAAAACTTTAAAACTTGAATATGTAAAAATTCAAGTTTGAACTTTCTTCTTTTTACAATCCAAGTTTTATATTTCTACAAATTGTAAAACTTAAAACTTATATTTTTACAAACTTAAAACTTTAAAACTTGAATATGTAAAAATTCAAGTTTGAACTTTCTTCTTTTTACAATCCAAGTTTTATATTTCTACAAATTGTAAAACTTAAAACTTATATTTTTACAAACTTAAAACTTTAAAACTTGAATATGTAAAAATTCAAGTTTGAACTTTCTTCTTTTTTGTAATCCAAGTTTCATTACAAATTCAAGTTTAATCTTAAAAAACAAATAAACTAACTTTGTAAATGCTTCAATTGCTATTGTATTTAAACTGCAACTAAATATAGTTAAGAGAGCTAATGACATTCTTAATATTTTTTTGCTATCAACTATTTAAATTATCTATTGAAATTAATTCAAAAATTAAAATATTTTTTTAAAATTAATTTTAAAAAATTTTTTAAAATTAAAAAAAAAACAATTTTCAAACAAAATTTATTATTTTATTTTCCTTTTTAAATTCCAAAAAATATATATAATGTGATGTATAATAATAAAATAAAAATAAAATTTGCTTCTTGAATATATTTTTAATACACAAATACTTAATTATATATAAGGCAGTTGAGCAGGACACAAAAAATATATATAAATAAAATAATAATAATAAAACTCCCCGGCAATTATTTACACAAGTTCTTTTATAAAAATAAGGGAATGATGCTTAAAACTTTTTTTTTCAAGTTCAGGTTTTTACAATCTCAAGTTTCAGAAACTTAAGTTTTCAAGTTTATTTTAAATTTCAAGTTTATTTCCTTCTAGTCTTATTTTTGAGAAATTAAAGTTTATTTTATTTTACAATTTGTAAAAACTTTAAACCTGAATTTTTACAAACTCAAGTTTTATTAAATTAGTAATTGTAAAAACTTGTTTATAAAAATATAAAATTCACAATTCAAGTTTAATATTTATTTTCAAGTTTATTTAAATTTACAATTGTAATTTTTCATGTTTTATTTCATAAAGTTTTACAATTTGTAAAAACTTAAAACTTGAATTGTAAACTTAAAAATTAGAGCATCATTCCCTTATAAATATAGTCGGTCCTTTAAAATATTGGAAAAAATTGAGATAACCAAGAAAAAAATTTTTAAAGTGGCCTGAAAGGTCTGAGTATAAACATAAAGTGTATGTAGATACGTATATAAATAAAAATATTAAATATAATTAAATATAAATATATTTTTTAAAAGGATTGAATTTTATTTTAATTTTCAAAAATTTTTCAATCCTCAAAAAAAAATTTTTTTAATTATAATACAATGTATATGAGCGTCTTTATATATGCGGCAATTTGTAAATTAAAAAATAAATAAAAAATAATTATATACAAAATATATTTATAAATATAATTTTTTAGAAGAGAGAGAGAAGTCTGTGGTTAATATATAGGAAAAAAAATATTAATTTTTAAAATAATTAACTGCGCAATATTTTTTTTCGAGAAATTCTGACCAAAAAAAAATTTTTTAGATTCCAAAAAATTAAAAAAATATTTTTTTAGAATTTTTAGTTTCAAAAATTCTTTTAAATAAATTTTAAAACATGGCGCATTCCATGAGCAAATTTTTAAAAATAAAATCAATAATAAATAACCGAGGGAAAAACAAATAAAAAGGTGTTAATTGGAGCGTTTTTATATAGTATGTAGAAAGAAAAAATAATTTTTGTAAATTTCAAAAATTGTTCAAATTTTATTTTTTTTTTAAATTTAATTTCCGTAAAGTTATTTTTTTATTAGACAAACTTTATATACCGTTAAAGTTTCTAGAGAGCATTTTAATGCAAAAGAAAAAAAAAGAAAACACAAATTTTATTTCAAGGTAAATATTATTTGGAGGGATCGAACTTAAATAATCAAATCAGAATTAAACAAAAAAAATACAAAATTAAAAATCAGAATTAAAACACAAACAAAAATACAAACATTAATCAGAATAAAGACAAAAACACGAACATTAACAAAAATCAGAACGCAACAAAAACACAAAAACAAACAAAAACACAAACATCCACAAAAATCAGAATTAAATTACAACATGAAATAAAAATCAGAACAAAACTAAAACACAAAAAATACACAAACAATTACAAAATCAGAACAACTACAAAACAAAAACACAAACAAATTAAAACACACAAAAACACAAAACAACTATCAAAAAACACATGTTTTTACACACATTATAAATCAGAATAAAATAAAAACATTTGTTTAATTTAAATGTTTTTCTGGTTCGATCCCCCTTAAATAATATTTTGTGTTTATTTTTATTTAAAACAATAAATGAAAGAAACAAAACAAATATATATAAATTGTGAAAATTTGCCAAACAAACAAAATAATATATATTGTGTATAGACATTTATTTATATATATTCTCTATATTTTTGGGGAAGGATTTAAAAAAAATTAAAAATTTTTACATTTATAGAAGAGAGAATATATATTTTTTAAAATAAGCACCTTTATATACCTCTTTTAAATCTCTCTACCTCTCTAATAAGAAGGTAGAACTTTTTTATAATTTTATTTTTAAGAGAAAAAAAATAAATAATAATTTTTTTGTATATTGGCAGTCTCTCTCAATTTTTTTTAAATAAAATAAGCCCTCTTTTTTTATAAATATTTTTAAAACAAAATATTTTTACAATTAATTTTTCTAGCAAGCAGTCGCCAAAACATCTGGAGAATATACACCAGCAATGTTTAATATAAGGCGAAGATCAGAACAATCACATCCCAAAATTGATGAAACTTTTTCCATTGGGAGAGGATCATTAATGTCTTTAAAAAATTAAAATAAAAAATTAATTAAAAAATATTTTTTAAAATGTCCGCAACTTTTAATGTCCGCAAGTCAAAATTATTTAAATATCTTTTCAAAAATTATTTTTCTTGGGGGGGGGGGGGGGGGGGCAAAAAGCAACCAACAAGCAGTCTAGCATAAAATAAATTCCATAGACACCCCAAACTTTTAAACCAAAAATTAAAAAAAACATAAATTTGCGGATAAAAAAAGTTTCGGATTTTAAGACCAAATTTCAGAGAAAATTTTTGAAACCCCAAGCCCAAGATTTTTTCTTCAAAAAATATTCAAAAAAATTAAATTAAAATTATTTACCAGTAGTTTTAACCAAATTAACGAGAACATTAGATTTATCAAGAAGAGATACCAAATGGTCTTCAAGGAATGATAAAAGAAAGTCTGGAGCACATTTATACCTTTAAAATAAATTTTTAAAAAACTTCAAAAAAAAATTTAAATTTCGTACTGATATAATTCAGCAAATTCTTCAAGCATTGAAGTAACAGCATCAGAAGGACAAACAAAACGAGTATCGTCAACTTGACATTTGTCAGAGGTAATAATCTATTTTTTAAAAGAAGAAAAAAATTATTTTTTGGGGTTAAAAAAAATTTTTTTCGGAAACGAAATTTCGAAAAATTTTTCGAAATTTCGAACCTATTTCAAAAAAATGCGAAATTTCGAAAAAATGCAAAATTTCGGAAACTTGCGAAATTTCAAAAAAATGCAAAATTTCGGAAAAAAATTCCGAAAAAAATTTCATTCAAAAAATATTTTTTCAACTAACCCGAACGTCTAAATTGCACATATCAATAAATATAACCAAAGAAGAACTTTTTGTCATTATAGGTGTCGTTGTTGAACAACAATTATTACTAGCATTCACATTATTGTGTTTCTTTGGACTTGTAGTTGCTAGAAACAAAAAATTTTATTTTCAAATCAAGAAACATTTTAAACTAGCAAAATCCGCATTATTTTATCCGCAAGTTTGATTAAAAATTTATTCAAAAAAAAATTAAAAATTATTTTTGCGGACAAAAAATTTTGCGGACTTTTTTGGTTGCGGACAAAATACTAGAAATTAAAAAAAATTCTTTAAAAAATTCCAAACCTTTAGCAGCAGCCGGAACACAAGACGGAGAAACACCATTAACACTTCCACCTCCACTTATACCCTTACTAAGTTGTCCAATCGAAAACTTTCTTGCCTCAATTCCCCCACAATCTTCAACAACATTTTTAGACATTAACAACAAATTAGAATGGTCTATACATAACGAATTTGTTGTTGTTGTATTTGCAGTTGTTGTATTTGTTGTTGTTGTAGGTGATGATAAACAACCACTTCCATTTGAAGAACTTGAATTATTCAACAAAGCAGAAATTTGGCTATTTAAACAAGGCTCCCCCATTGGATGTCTAACATCTTCACAAATTGTATTAAATATTGAATCTATTGATAATAAATTGGTAAATTGTGGATGGGTGGTTGGTGGTGATGTTGACATTGTCTTTGTTATAATTTTTGAAAAAGATGATTTTGATGTCAATTTTTGTTGATTTTGTTGTTGGTTAGAAGGAGATTGAACTTGTATACCTTTAAAAAAATTTTTTAAAAAATTGAAGAGGAAGTGAAAAAAAAATCAACAATATAGGATACCCGGGTACACACCCGTGAACCACGAGCCTAATGTATCGCCGAGCTATAACTTGTTCAAAATTGTCGAATCCGTGGCGCCCTGGTTTCGACCTGCTGAATCGAAACATACCAGGGCGCCACGGATTAGACAATTTTGGACAAAGTTATATAGCTCGACGGTACATTGGGCTCGGAGTACACTGGCCTGCTCCCAGAAAACCCTTATAACTCCTAGCGGTTTAACTTTTGAACGGCCATAACTCGGCCCAAACAAATTTTGCAAAAAAAAACACGCAAATAACAATATGATAAATTGAGGGTCCTCTATCGAATGAACTAAAAAATATATAAAAATTCCTGTTTACAATAGACGATAATTCCTAGTAAATAATTGAACCCCAAAAAACGATAACTAAAGAAAATTGGCACTTAACCACAATGTAACTCAAAACTGATTTGGAATAAAATAAATAATAAAAAAATTCATAAAAATTTTTTGTTTGTTTCGCTTAAGCTTATCAAAAATTTATTTCAAAAAATTTAAAAAAGAAACAAACCAGAAAGAACAAAATGTGGAGAATAAGCATTACAAACACCAGCCATTAAAGTACGTCCAAAATCATGTAATTCTGGTGGTTCTCCATTGAATTTGAAAGTTCCACATTCTGCCAACAATTCTGGAAAATTGGGGAAAATTTTTTTATAAAAATTCAAAAAATTTTTTCGAAGTGTCAACTGCCCAAAATGACACAAAAAATTTTTTTTCGAAATGTCAAATACCCAAAATGCCACAAAAAATTTTTTTGAAAATCAGAAAAAATTTTGAAAAATTAGAAAAAAGTTTCAAAATGTCAACTGCCCAAAATGCCCCAGAAAAATTTCACCATTAAAAAAAATTCACAAACCATAACTCCTTTTACTCTCCACAGAAGAACAACGAACAAAATAGGAAAGTACACGTAACAATAAAGCAATCTTTTCTGGTTTATCCCCAACAACAACAATTTTTGTAAATTGGCTGTTATTACAAAAATTATTTGTTGCTGTAGTTGAAGAGTTGTGTAAATCTTTCCCTCCACTTCCTTCAGGCCCAGAAACAGACAAAACAGAATCTGTTGTTCCAACACCGTAATAAAGTTCCAAAAGTTGTGCAACCGTTGGGTTATAATAATTAATTTTGTTGTTGCCGTTATTTTGATGAGTAAATGAAGAATTCTTTAAATAAAAAAATTTTTTGAAATTAAGTTTAAAAAAAAATAAAAAAAATTTTTAACTTAACAGAGCTGAATGCATGCCAACTAGAGCTGTCCGAGACTCCTGATCTTGGGTCTGGGTCTTGAGTCTTGGAAGATTTTCGGTCTCGGACAGTCTAATGCCCACCACCCCCCTCTGATCCAGATTGACCATTTTACCTTATTTTTAGGGCATTTTTCGCTCTCTTTTTGTCCTCACATTTTAGTGGTTCCGCCCTATTTTTAAGTGGTTTGGAATCAGTCCCCATGCTCTGATCTCAAAGGTGAAAGTAACTCACAAGCAGAGGGATTCCATTCTACAAGGGAATAGCCAGGGGGGTCTGGGGCTATTTTCCCCTGAAATGGAAAAAATAAAAAAATTTTAGGAGGGAAATGATCTGAAAAGTGAATTCCAAAACGCCAAAGTAAACGCCAAAATTTTTACACACACCTCATTTTAGCCCATTGAAATCGACCTCATGGCTACGCCTTTCCATTATATAAATCAGAAAAAGCCACCAAAGACCAAACCCCTGATTTAAAAAAATAAACAAACCATTCCCAATAAAAGAGAATAATCATCCCCTCCATCATAATTATTATTTGAACCACAATAATTTTCTGGTGGTGCAACACTAGCAACCCAAGTCAATTGATTCATTAAAACAGCAGATAATAATGTTGAAAGGAAACTAAAGAAGAAAAAATTTTTTGAATTGTAAAACTAGGAATATCACAAAGTACCCGAAAAACAAGATATCAGAAACCTGGATCCCTTTTTCGACTCGAAAAGAAAAATTTTTAATTGGTGCCGAGTTCAGCGTTTGACCCCAAAAAAAACTAAAAAACGACACTAATACCTAATTTAAAAAATTATTTTTTTAATTATTTGGAAGTGAGAGGGGACAAAAGGAGGAAGGCTATAACTAGAGAGCGAGATTTTCAAAAAATCTTGACCTTAATTCTGGTTGGATACCTCGACCAGATTCTTGACCTCGAGTCAAGGAAGAATCAAGGAACGCTGAAAAATGCCTTGATCCGGACTCTGGATCCAGGAAAAATCAAGGTCTGGATACAGATCCAGCCCGCTCTCTAGCTATAAGATTGTTGACTAGCTCATGTTAAAAAAGGGGAAAATTAAAATATTTGAAAAAATTTTCAAAAAAACAAACAATTTAGTTTCCTTTGTATTAAATTCACAAATTAATTGTGCCAATTGAGAACAAAATTTTGAAGCAATTTTGTGCATTCCAACACTCGCATATTGTGCTGATGCCAAACTTTGCCATACTGGATTTTTAAGTCTTAAAGAGTTACACAACAAACAAAGTGATTGACATGTTGATGTCCAACCCTTCAAAAAATTTAAATTTTGAAAATAAATTTAATAATTTGTTCATATAAAAATTGAGTGTCAAGTCGGGTTTTCAAAATTTCTTTAGACGTGATTTCATGACCAAGAAAAAAAAAGTTAATATATCTCTTGTAACCCGCATTCATTCCTTCTGTTTATTTCATTTTTCAGTAAAGTTTTTCATCTCTAATATTTTTTTATTAAAAAAAATTCGTCAAAAAGGGGTTAAGGGATTAAAAGTTTTGAGAAAAAAATTCTAGAAAACACATACAAAAAAGAATTTCCAGGAGCAAAGGAATTTCCAAAAAAAATATATAGGAAGAAGGGATTCATTTCCTTTATAACGCGAAAATTTTATTGTTTTGAAGGAAAATGGTCCAATTAAATAAATTTAAAAAAAAACCTCATAAATAGATTGAAAGAATTGTGTTTTGTCCTGGACTGCTTTATGGATATGTATTGCAAGTTTATCGAGCTCTTGTTCAATTTGAAGAATGTGTTGGAAGACAAACGAACGAAAATCAACTTTAAATAAAAATTTTTTTAGAAAATTTTCAAAAAATTTTTTTTATTTTTTTTTGAATGTCAAAATGTCAACTTTTTAAAAAGGCAAAAAATTTTTTCAAAAAAATTTCAAAAAAAAATTAAAAAAAAATAAACCAGGTAATAAAATAGCAAATCCATATTGTTGCCATTCAGTAAATGCATCATTAAATATTCCACCCCCACAAACATCTGCAATAGACGAACAACTACTTAAACGGCTACGATTTGTTAAACGAAGAGAAAGGGCTAGAAAAGAAAATAAAAATTATTTGAAGAAAAAAATTTTTAAAGTTACATTCATCCAATCCAATTTGTGAAAGTTGACACCTCCTTGCACGTGAAAGTCTGTTAGGTGAGAAGGCACGTAATTCTTCCATTATGTCCTAGAAAGAAAAAAATTTAATTAAGCAAATTGTGTCAAGACTGAACAGAATAAAAATACATCCCTGAATAAATCGTAGAAGGGGGCACACATTCATTGTGCCCTGACAGTTTAAAGCAATTTCAGGGCATAGAAAAAAAAAGTTTTTCCTTATCCCATGAAATTTCCACAGAATGTTACGGAAAAAACCCCTCTATCCCCGGAAAAAGTTGCAAGGCATGAACAACAACACCTAGGGGAGAGGGAGTGAAGTCTAAAAACCTATAACAGAAAACTCCCTCCATCCCCTCAAAAAGGGTTTAAAAATTTTTTCTTATATCCAAACTAAATTTCTCCATTATTAAAAGCAACGTTGGGAGAAATCTAAAGGGGGGGGACTATATTATCTCCTACCCCAGGAAAAATTTTCATGGCATGAACAACATCATAAGAAGGGGGGGGGAGAATAGTGTGTACTAACCTCAAAAAACCCCTCCATCCCCTCAAAAAATTCAAAAATAAAATTTAAAAAAATCAAAACAAACATCAACATCAGCCGTTTCCATTTGAAGAGAAGAATTTCTAACTCTAACAAAATTTTCTGGTGGATCCGTATGGTTGTTAGTTGAAGTTGGTGGACTTTTAGATGAAGAAATAAATACGGGGAATTTTGTACAAGTTTTGGAAGAAGTTGAGGAAGAAGTATTGCCACCATTTAAAAAATCAACTTCGTCTTTTGGCTGAGCTGCTGAAGTAGAAACTGTCGTTGAAGCATTAGCTATACCATCAAGTGAACGAATTGTTGAATAATTCGATTGATTGTCTGAATCTGAGCTTAAACTTCCAACCATACATTTGTAAATATCACTAGAAAAACAAAAAAAATTTTTGTAAAGTTTTTTCAAGAAGTTTAGGAGAAAAGCTTGATGGAAAATTTAAAAAAACTGCCATGAATGGTGGACGGCCCTTTATAAGTCAGATTAACAAAAAACAATTTTGCGGATTTTTGGGTTTAAGAATCTAGGAAGTTTAGGGAGAAAAAGTTTATTAGAGGACACAATGACGATGAAAAGAATTCAAGTTTTGTTTATGAAGGGTATCCACACAAATTGAGATTCTGCTTATAAATAAGGGTTTACCTAATACAAATCTATTTTTTGGAAGAAATTTGGCCATTCAAAAATTATCTCAAAAGAACCAAAACGAAAACCCCTTTACTACACAATTCTCCTAATAGCTAAAATCATCAAATTTAATCCACAAGTTAATCAACTTCTGAAAACCTACAATTTCAAATCCCTCCTAAATTCCTAAACCCAAAAACCAGAAAAAAAAATTTTTTCGTTAACCAGACTTGTATAAAAGCCGCCCCCTTATTTATTTAAATTTATCAGAAAAAAATAAAAACAAACTTAGTTTTAAACGGAGTAGAAGAATACTTGCCAAGTTTAGGTACAGAAAACACTCTTGAAATCATTACTGAATTTGAGTCTCTTAAAAAAATTAAAAATTTTTAATTTTTAAAAATTCAAAAAAAAATACTTGAGTGTATGTATTTTGAGAGAATCAGACTTCAAAGCAGCCGGCATTGTACCAAAAAGCATTTTGGCAATTTTCAATGTGTCGTATTTATGTGGGAGGAACTTGAAAAAAAATTATAAAATTTTGGAAAATTTTTCAAAATTTTTTTGGGATTTTCAAAAATTTTTTAAAAATTTTTTTGAAATTTTTGAAAAATTTCTAAAAAAATTTTTCAAAAAAAATTTCTAAAAAAATTTTTAAAAAATTTTTTGCAAAATCCCAAAAAATTCCCAAAAAAATTTTTTCTAAAAAAAAAACCTGAAAACGTCCACACTGAGACAAATGTGATCCAAATACAAAACGATCAGCCAAAGCTACAACAGTTGCCGAGTCATATAAAAGTCTAGTGTCCTTTTCACTAAATACAACAAGACGGCATTCTGATGCCCGTAATTGCTGCTTATAAATATGCCAACTGAAAAAAAAATTTTTTATAGAAATTTTTTGTAAAATTTTTTTAAATTTGTTATAACAATGAACTTGACCCCTCTCAGGCTTTTAAAATTTTCCATCTAATAATGAGATGAATTCTAATAATTAATAATTTAGGAGGTATCGCTAATTCAACCAAGACAGCTTCTTCTCCCTTAATTTAGTGACCAACCCAACTAACAACAGAATAAAAAAAATCGTTGCTTAAATATAGAGGTATTTATATGTATCCAGTTCAACAATTAGAAAAAAAGTCTTCTTAATTAAATAAAAATTAAGTATATTCTCCCCCAAAATTTTTCATCATTTTTTTATTAAAAATTTTTATTTTTCACATTTTTTGTTTACTCAACATCAAACTTGCCCTTTATTGTATATTTAGGGATTTACCCCTCCTTATTATTTAAACAATCCCTCACACGTGAAAATAGACAAAAAAATTTTACCCCGATTTGTTTAACAATACAACAAAAAAAAATATTCGTGGCAAAAATTTTTATTGAAAAAATATTTAAAAAAAACTCCTTTCATGTGTCTAAATTTTACAATAAAAAAAAGATGAAAATCATAAAAATTAAAATTGAACGAGTTCTATAAAGTATAAAAATTTAAAAAAAAAATTTTTTTAGCTTTTAAAAGTTTTTTTTTCTAATTTTTATTAGTAAACACAAATTTTTATGACCCCCAATTGATAAAATTAAAAATGTTGAAAAGACTAAAAATTGGGTATATGAAAACATATTGAAAGCAATAAAACTGATAAAATTTCAACTAAAAAAATTTTTTTTTAAACAGCCCCCAAAAAATCCAAAATTTAAAATAAAATTAAGGAGTAAAATAAAAAAAATATCAAAATGTTAAAAAAATTTTTTTTTAAAAAACAAACTATTGAAGATAAAAAAATATTTTTTTAAATTTTAAAAATTAATTTTTCAACAAGATTTAGATCATTAATAAAAAAACTAATAAAAAATAAAAAAAATACGCCATCTTAATATTTTTATTCAAATTTATTTACTAAAATTTTATTGAGTTGCAAAATTTCTTGTTAATTTTTTTAAACTTTTATCTAGCAACATTTGCAGCAACACATATACATACTTATAATAAAAATACATATATTTTTGCAACAGACATTTTTTTTTATTTTTATTTTTATTATTATCACACATCTACAATCTCTCTCAAACATTAAAATTCTTACTACCTAAAAAATTTTTTTGCACAAAAAAAAATTCTAGTTTTTTTATTAGTCTATTTTTCTCTCTATAATAAATAATAACTTTTTACTTCTACGAAATTTCCGTTTTATTTTTTTACTTTATTAATTTTATTAATTTTTATTTTTTTCTCCCAAATTTCTCAAATATTTCAAACATTTTTCCCTTCAATCAAATACACACACTCTCCCTATTTTCCATGCAATCAACACAAAAATAAATACCTAAGTAATTTGCACTTTTCAAGGGCTTTATTACATAAAAATAATTACTAAAATATTTATTTATTTTTTGTTTTTTTTTTAATATTTTAGCAGGTGGCCCTCTACGCTCATCTTTCCTCTCTACGTCTTTCTCCCCAACTTCTTTTCGTCGTCTTCCCCCAAAAAAAAATTTTCAAAAAAAATTTTTTTTCAAAAAAAAATTCCAATCAAATTAAAATAATAAATTATTGATATTAACAGTCGTCTTAGTTTTAGTTAGGAGGAAGTGATTATTTTCTTTATTTTATTTTTTCAAAAAAAATATTTTTTCTCTTTCTCAGTGTTCCACCATTTTTAACCACCACTCACAACAAATACACACACACACACACACATTTTTGAGGAAATACGTCGCGCTATCACAAAAAAATTTTTTAATTTTTTTTGTTTCAAAAAAATTATGTAAACATTCCCAAAGTTTATTTAATTTTTAATTTAATTAATAAAAAAATTTTTTTTATTTAAATTAAAAAATCAATAAATTTATTTCCTATTTTAAATTTTTGGCGTCAAAAATAGACTTGCGTTTGGCGTCCACCCCCTCACAATCATTGGTCCCTCTAGAAAAAAAAGGCAAGCCGGAAATCCACCCAACAAAAAATTAATCAGTCACCCCCAACTATAATTATTTATTATTTTTTATAGGGAAAAAGGAAGTAAAGGAATGTGGAGAGTGTTAAATAGTTATTAGCAATAAAATCAATTTAGATATATCCACGTTAATAAATCTTTGCAAAAAAAAAAGACAGACGCCAGGAAAAAAAATTAAATAAAACAAAAATATATAAGAGTAAAAATTAAATTAAAAATAAAAAAAAATTACATTCTTCTGGGAAAATTAGATATTTTGAAAAAAAAATTGAAGAAATAAACATTCAGAAAAAATTTTAAAAATATTTTTTGAAACACCAAAAAAAAATTATTTAAAAGTTTAATTATGTAAATTTTTTTTAAAAAATATTTTCTCGAATAAAAAAATATTTTTGTTTTTAATTTTAAAAAATAATAATAAAAATATTTTTATTTTTCAAAAACAATATCAAAAAAATATTTTTTTATTCGAGAATTAAAAATAAAAATTTATGTAAATCCCCTCCCACAAAAGTGTATTTTTACTATTAAGTTTAAAAATTAATATAAAAAATAGCTAGAGAGACATAAAAGCTTAAAAAAATTTTTTTAGAATTTATTGAACACAAGAATCACATAAATATAAAAATTACAAGCAAAACCCCCCTCCTCCTTCCTAACACAAGCAAAACCCTCCCAAAACAGGAAAAACCCCTCACAAGACTCAAAAACACCTACTCTCTAAACATTTCAAGTTTCAGAATTAATTAAAAACATGAAGTGAAAAATCAGAATAAACTAGGAAAACATGTTTCCCAAACATTCCAACAAAAACATTTTAATTACCAAAATTACAAAAACATACGACAAAAACATTTATAATCTTACGAACATCTCACAAACTTAATAACAAGCAAACCCCTCACAAGACTCAAAAACACCTACTCTCTAAACATTCACATTCTTCTCTTCTCTTAAAAACACAAGTTTAAACCTTAAAAAAAGTTTGGCGAACATAGAAATAACTTTAAAAAACAAGGAAGTCATTAAATAAAACTTAAGTTTAGTGTTTGACGAGAAAAAAAGTTGGAAATAAAACACAACATATTAGTAAAATAATGAGTAATAATAAATCAGCCTTACTAAGTTTATATATTTTTAAAGTCTATATAAAACATAAAAACATTTAAAAACATGAAGAAAAAAATCAGAATTAACAGACAAACATGTTTCTAAACATTATGAATATCAGAGTTAAATAAAAACATTAAAGGAAATATCAGAATTAATTAAAAACATGAAAAGAAAAAACCAGAATTTACTAAAAACATATAGGAAAAAATCAGAATTAATCAAAAACATTAAAAGAAAAAACCAGAATTAATTAAAAACATGAAAAGAAAAATCAGAATTAATTAAAAACATGAAAAGAAAAAACCAGAATTAAATAAAAACAAGAAGAAAAAAACCAGAATTAATTAAAAACATAAATGAAAAAATCAGAATTAAATAAAAACATGAAGAGAAAAATCAGAATCTACTAACAAAACATGTTTCACAAACATCCCAACAAAAACATTTTAATTATCAGAACATATTAAAAACACAAAAACATTTGACTAAAACATTTATAATCTTACAAACATCTCAAAAACTCAACAACAATAAAAACAAACTTAAACTCACGCAAACTTAAGTTTTCCTAAAAACATTCTTAAAACTTGAAACAAACTCAACTATGCTTCAAAAAACCTGTTTCACCCTAAACATTAATTTATTGGGCACCCCACCCAAATTTAAATTTAATAAAATTTAAAAATCAAAACCCCACCAGAAATTGTCCATATTATTATTGTTGTTGTCCATTCGTTGTTGTTGCTGTTGTTGTTGATTAATAAAATTTGGACTTAAATCATGCATTGAAGAAGAAGCATAAACACACTACTAGTTATTTTTAGTCTTATTATCCAATTGAAGCAAATTTTCATCAAATGAAAAAAAAGAAGATAATAGCACAAATTAATCTTAAAAAAGGTTAAAAAGTATATATTTATTTATTGGCAGTTTAAAAAAGTGATTAAAAACAGAAAAAGGGGAAAAAGATATGAATGAAGGGAAGGGACGGGGAGGGAACCTAAAAAAAGGCAAAAGAACAAAACGACACAACGACGTGTAAAATGAATGAATGACTGACTGAAAAGTTTTCTGGATATTTTATTTATTTAAAAGGAGAGAGAGAAGAGAATGATAGTAAATAGAGTATAATAAAAATGTAGCTACTTCTATATTAGCGCATTTAAAAAAACAGAAACAAGCAAGGGGCAAAATACCGTCCAGACAAAATACCGACTAGACACTAGAGTAGAAACATGGTCGTTTTATGAGATGATGAATTCGATTTATGTCGAGATTGTGTTGTTTAAGTATCTTTTTAGACCCTAAAGCGATAATAATAAACCTGACAGACCCCATTTTTTCTTCCCACGTTTCTTCCTATAGATCTGAAGAATGGTCAGACTTCTTCCTTCAAGTTTCCTACTTCCATCCAAGGGGAAATAAAAATGAATTTCTTTTGATTGTTTCTAGGCAAAATTAAGAAGGCAATTTGGATGAAAGGAAAAAGTCTGACCATTCTGTAGATATATAGGAAGAACTTGGGGAGGAAGAAATGGGGTCTGACAGGTTCAATATTAAACCCTAGGGCTATTAGGGCTTGGTTAGTACTTCAACTCACAAAGGAGAGTGCCTGAGGTGTCCGTGGGACTTCGGGATGAAATTTGGCAGGGAGATAGATCATACCCTATTATAGTCATACCCAGCTTAGTTTTTGCTAAATGGTACCGTGGGCCAAGTTATAAGCACCCAAAATTTTAGGGTCCCCTCTTATAAACAATTTCTATTCAATTATAGATGTGTTCGTCGGTGGTGCAGTGGTAGCGTTCTTGAATTCAATTTTTTCCCCCAGGTTCGAATCCTGATTGGGGAAATTAATTTATTTTAACATAATTTTTGTTTTTTTTTTGAAAATTTTGGTTTTAAAATTTAAAAAAATTTTCTAAATTTTTTTGAAACTTTTATAAAATTTTTTTAAATATATATTCCTTGCCTTTTAAAGCCCTCGACTTATTCATTTTTTGTGTTCTTTCAAAATGTTTTTCAAAAAATTTTAAAAAAGTTTCAAAAAAATTTAGAAAATTTTTTAAAAATTTTAGAAACAAAATTTTCAAAAAAAAACAAAAATTATGTTAAAATAAATTAATTTCCCCAAGCAGGATTCGAACTTGGGGGAAAAAAGTAAATTCACGCACGCTACCACTGCACCACCGACGAACACATCTGTACCTAAAAAGAAATTGTTTATAAGTAAAAAAGAAAACTAAGGGGGATCCTAAAATTTTGGGGGCTTATAACTCGGCCCACGGTACCATTAAGCAAAAATGGTTCAAGATTTATAATAGAAAGGGTATGATCTACATGTGTGCCAAATTTTATCCCGAAGTCCCACGGACACCTCAGGCACTCTCCTTTGTCAGACCTGCTCATGAGGGAGGATAATATCCGGATATCCGCGGATACGGATAAATCCGGAGTGTCCATGAGCAGGTTCTGCTTCTACTCCCATGCCTAAAAATTCTATTTTTAAAATTTGTTTAATCTGCTAATTTTTACTCTAAGGGATAGACGGTATTCTAGTCGGACGGTATTTTGTCCTAACATGAACAGAAGCAAAAAAATTTTATTTTGAGGGAAAGGGCGGGAATAAGGCTTATATGAGCGAGTGTACTTTCCTCCTACTAAGAAGCTTTAAAGAGACTTTTAGAAAAAAAATGCCACACGAAGGAGAGAAAAGGATTATTATTTGGCACTATATATGTTTTTGTTTTGTTATTTTGCCGTAAGCGACATTCACGTGATTGGCAACTGACCAAACAAACAAAAAAAGCAGACAGCGCAGTGGTGGCATTTAAAAAAAGAGAGGAGGGAAAATTGAAAAATAAAAAAAATGTTTTATATAAAAATGAGAGGAGGAGAAAAATGGGGGGAGGAAGAGGAGAATGGGGGGGGGGGGGGGGGGGGAGAAGAAAAAAATTGGGAGGAGGAAGAAGAAAAAAATTTTTTAGGGGGAAGAATTAGAAAAGGGGAGGAGGAGGAGACGAAGAATACGAGCCAACAAGAAACAAAGATGGGAGGAGAAGAAAAAAATTATTTTTTTTTGAAATTTTTTGGATGAGAATAACACACAAAACTGAACGTTTTTTGAAGAGAAAAATACTTTAAAAAATATTTTTTCGTGGGTGAGAGATCAAACTAATCATTCCTTCTTTTTTTTCTTTTTCTCCTACGAAAAGGCAGCCAATTCACCGAAATATATAAATTCTTTTTTTGATAATTTTAGAAGAAGAAAAAAAAATTTTGAAACACATTTTTGGAATTTTTATGGGGTTTTAATGATTTTTTTTGGCATAAACTTTGGATGAATCAGATGGAATTTGAAGTTAAATTCCAAAGAAAATGAGGAAAGTGAAAGGGTATTGAAACTTGATAGAAGCTGGAATTGAAGTTTGAAGCTTCAATTTATGCTTCAGCTTCATGTGGGTGGATAACGGAAGCTTTAAATTCGAGTTCTGCTCGAGTTGCTGGGCTTAGGTGACTTAGACCCCAAGTTTAAGCTTAAACCCTGAAGCTTCAATGAAGCAAAAAAACAAAAGCTTCAGTTATGGCCTCAACAGACCTCCTAATCTCCCCCATAAACAATCCCCACCATCCCTACCAGCCTGAAGCTGAAGCAAAATTTAAATAAAAACAAAGATCCTGAAGCTTGAGGTTTTTTGTTTCTATTTTGAGCTTCAACTTGGAAACTAAAGCTTCAGGCTCTAGACAAGCCTACAATTCAAGCCTCAAGGACAGTCTCAAAACTGTAGCAACCCCCACCCCCACCATCCCTACCAGCCTGAAGCTGAAGCAAATTTCAAATAGAAACCTAAAAACTGAAGCTTCAGGTCTTTCTAGACAAGCCTATATTCAGTCAAAATAAAATAGGACAGATATTTGTGTTTTGATATTGATATAGTAGACACAGTTAAAAAAAGAGGACAGAAAGGAGGAGAAACGTTTAAATAGTACACACAATCAATTTCTAATTTTTGTACTTTGTACAATAATCAAGAAAAAAGTTTTTTGGAGGTTTAAAAATAAATAAATGTTTATATAGAAAAGTGCAACAAATACCTCGCGCGCTATAGACAAACATATAGCTAGTCATGGGGTTTAACAAAAAATAAATAGAAAAAAAAATGTCTGTGTTGCCTTAAAAGAGGAAAGGGGAGGGGAGGACTAATAAAATGAAAAAACATTTTTAGTTTTGTTTCTGTTTGCCGAGTATTTTTTAGAAAAAAAAATTTCTTAAGAGCTGGCAGGTGGTACTAGGTAGTAAAAAAAAATAAAAATAGGAAAAGAAAAATTATATTTTTTTTTTTATTTTTTTTGGGAAGAGGGGAAAAGCTCTGGTTGGGGAAAAGCTCTGTTGGGGGAAAAGCTCTGTTGGGGCTCTTATAGCACACACAAAAATATAAATGAGTTCAGAAAGGAACAATGATGATATACTAAAAAATTAGAGTTGCCGGCATGCATTTTTGTTTGGAGGAAAAAAAATTAGGATGCCGCCAGTGTGTGGTAGTGTATATATTTGTGTGTGTGGAAGCCGTGTGTCTCTTTTGGGAAAATAAGGGGAGAATGTTTTGGCGAGCTGCCAAAATAAAAAAAAAAAGCCAGCCACCGCTTGCAACACTTGGTTATCCAAGTCAAACACACACATAAATATATAAGTGCGGCTGACTGAGTAGACAAGTTAAAGAATGCAAAAAAAAAGATTGAGAAAGAGAGAGAGTCAAGAGTTTTTTTGTTTCAAGAAAAAAGGGGAAAAGAGAAGGGAATATAAAAATGTAGAAGAGACAGACGCGAAAAAGAAGCGCGTCGACACATTTTGCCAAGTACACATTTTGCCAATAAGGCTAAAAACTTACATTTTGTCAATAAGTTTGCTGACAAAATGTGTGTTTTTAGCCTTATAGGCAAAATGTCGAATTGGCAAAATGTGTATCCGCGGAAAAATTGGGAAAAAGAAGAGTAAGTAAAAACGCGTATAGTCATACCACTTGTGTATGAATATTTTTCTTTCTTTTTTAGACTCGTGAGCAAAAATGTGTTTGTTTGTTTGTATGTCTGCAAACAAAAAATCATGAGAGCAACAGTCGTCAACAGAGAGAGAAAATAAAAGTGTGATTTGGTCAGCAGACATAATATAAATGTTGAGAGGCAGACAGCAACAAAATTTGAAATAATGAAGAAATGAGTGGACTGAAATAAAAAATTCTCCCGCCTTAAAGCACGGAAGGAGGGGGCGATTGGCAACTAGACATAATAGAATGGAAAGCCAGTTGGAAAGTTGCCAATTTATTTTTGAAGAAGATCGTTTCGAAAAATATTTATTTTATTTAATTAAAAAGATGCGCGCATTATTGATTTTTTGCTTTGGGAAGGGGTTTACAATTTGCGTTTACAATTATGTCTATTTACAATTGTAAATATATTTTTATTTTATTTTCCGGAAAGGTTACAATTGTAATTTATGTATTAATTTTCTTTCCGGAAAGTCTACTGGAAAGTCTTTTATAGTTGTCTATTTACAATTGTAATTCTTTCCGGAAAGTTTTCTTCTAATAGTTTTCCGGAAAGGATTATTTTTCCTCTGTATTTACTATTAATTTTTACAATAGTTTATTCTATTTTCTTTCCGGAAAGGATAGAAGTGTAATTTTTAATTTTCTTTCCGGAAAGTTTATTTTTACAATTGTCTATTTATTTTAATACCTTTCCGGAAAGTTTATTTTTCTCTATTTCCAATTGTAAATATATTTTTTATTTTCTTTCCGGAAACGATAGAAGTGTAATTTTTAATTATCTTTCCGGAAAGTTTATTTTTACAATTGTCTATTTACATATTTAACCATTTCCGGAAAGTTTATATATTTATTTTTCTCTAATCCTTTTAGACAATTTTAGACTGACTTGTATTTTTACTTGTATTTTAATTAAATGGACAGCAAGTTTTACAATGGCAAGTAGGCGTACTAACAACAACACTACTCATCAGCATCACACAGGCGTTCATCGTGGGCATGTTGTACATCATCTTGGAGTATTTTTTAAATTAATTTAAATTTTATTTATTTTATTTTTTAAGGGCAGATCAGTGTCTAGACGGCGTAATGTAATTAATCGAGCTAGGAATCGATCAGAAATTAGTTTTTGTGTTAAATATACAGTTTTTGGGTTGGTTTTTTATTTTTATTTAATTTTTAAAAAATTTTAAAATTAATTTATGGGGGAAATACACGTTGGCTGACGTCATTTCTAACATCCCTTTTGTCGTCCCCTTCTTTTTCTTTCACTTTTTCCTGACCATTTTGTACCTTTTTTCATTCCCTATATTTCCCTAATTTCTGAAGCAAGATATAAAATCCTAACACTTGCCCAAAGTAGACATTATTCCGACTTCATGGGTTAGGTTAGGACTTTGTCGACACTTTAGATTATCTAGAGAAGAAAATTTTTAAAAATGGTTAAGGAAAAAGTAAAGAAGAAAGGGAGGGGGTTACTTTGAAGCCCTGTAACTTTCCGATTTGGGGGTAGGGCCGAAAAAGAAAAAAAAAACTAGAATAGGAAATCGGCCCTGCTCTACACAATGGCGTATGTTTCATCGCAAAATTTTTTTGTGAGGAAACCCCCATTTCAACTCAAACTAATTTTTAACCTTTTTGTCCAGTTTTAACGTTGTTTTCTGGGCTCTCGGCTTTCTCCTGTTAGGCATCGGTTTATGGTCCCGCCTAGAAAAGAACAATTTGTACAGTCAATTGGCACTTTTCTATTTGGATCCAGCTTGGGTTTTAATTATTGTTGGAGCAATTATTTGGTCAATTGGATTTTCTGGTTTTTTCTTTAAATTTTTCTTTTAATTTCCACTAATTTTCAATTTAATTTTCTAAAGGATGTGTTGGCGCTCTACGCGAAAATACTTGTTTTTTGGCTATTTACTCCTCCATTCTTGGTTTGTTGTTACTCACAGAAGCCTTAATTGTTGTGCTAGCATTTGTTGCCAAAGATTTTGTTGAAAATGATTTGGGAAATCGATTGGATAGCATGGTTTCTTTTTTTTAGATTTTAACTTTTTTGGGGAGTTTTTTTGGATTTTTTCCATTTGTTAAAAGGGTAGATTCGTGGGTTCCGTGACTTTTGCGCCGAGAACATTTGCGCCGCGACTCTTGCGCCGCGACTTTTGCGCCGCGACTTATGCGCCGAGCGACTTTTGCGCCGGGGGACTTTTGCGCCGCGACTTTTGCGCCGGGCGACTTTTGCGCCGCTACTATTATTGAAAAACTACAGCCAGACCTCACTATAGTAGGTTTGTCTGATAGTTGGAAATCTTCGGATATCCGGATCCGACAACCCTACACTATAGTGCATCCTACTTTTATGACCTAGACCTAATTCAGCAGCTACCGTACTGCTGAAGCCCCCATTGTACTTCCTGAACTTCCGACAGTTCCTGGATAATTTTTTAAAGCCAAGGGGTAAGGTTCGATTGTAGTTATTATTTTGATTTTTCAAAATAATGGCGGCGCAAATGTCGCGGCGCATAAGTCGCCCGGCGCAAAAGTCCCGGCGCGAAAGTCGCGGCGCAAAAGTCGCCCGGCGCATAAGTCGCGGCGCAAAAGTCGCGGCGCAAATGTTCTCGGCGCAAAAGTCGTGATACCGATTCGTGTTGACTTTTTTTGTAATTTCTTTTGGGGATACTTGAATGACTTCCTCGGGGTTCGGGTTGGGATGTGATTTATTGTCCCACCCATGCCTTTTTTGACTCGAATCCTTATCCGAGGGGAAGTTTGAAAACCCAACTCGAAGCTTGACTCAGCTTTCTTTCCGTTACATCATTGATTTACGAATTCACTCATTTGAATGGTCAAATACCTAATTAGGCGAAGAATAAATATGATAAAAATCAAAAAAAGGTCCAAAGAATTTCACCTTATCTTTTTTTATTGACAAAATTTTTTATATTAATTTTAAAAATTCAAAAGATTGTCCATTATCGTGATGACCCAGACTTGCAAACAATTATTGACTGGATGCAAAATGATTTTCAATGTTGTGGAATAAGCGATCCTGATGATTGGGACAAAAATATTTATTTTAATGCTTCTGCTAAAGCCTTAAAATCTCCGGAAGTATTTTTAAAGATTTTTCTGAAAATTTTCTAAAATAAAATTTTAAAGGCGGGAGGTGTTCCCTATTCCTGTTGCAAAAATGTGGACAAGACTTTTATTAATTATGCCTGTGGATATGCGGTTAATTTTGAATTATTTATTTTTTTTGTCTGAAAATACCGATCAACGGGTCGGCGTTGGACCCCAGTCGTGGGACGTCACAATTAGGGCGCGCCTGCTTAAACTCACTCAAACGAAAGAGCTCTTTTTACTAAATTTATTTAAAACAAAAATGGGTTGAAAAAAAGGGATGGAGAACCGGCCAACGGTTCTTGAGACCAGAAAAGCTAATACTGAACTGATTTGGCCAGTTCTCCATCCCCTTAAGTAATGATAATAAAAATGGGTGTGACATTTTGATTTTAAACATTTTTAAAAATTTATTTAAAAATTTTAAGAAAATTTTTTTTATTTTTTCAGACACGTGTTAGCCATTCTGACAACGTAATTTTTTTATTTTTAAATTTTAAAATAAAAATTTTTTTCTAAAAGGGTCCAAAACAATTTTATCATAGCAATATACACATTGAAGGTTGTTTACCTAAACTTCAATCTTGGCTAAACAACAATTTTCTTTATGTTGGGGCTGCTGTTTTTGTTGTTGCTGTTGTACAGGTTTTTATTTTTAAATAGTTATTTTTTTTAAGAAATTCCGGAAAGTTGGGAGGAAACAACTTAAATAAATTTCCAACCTTCTGGAAATTTTTTTATTTAAATATTTTATCGAAAAAAGGAATTATGTGTTATTAAAAAATTACATATGTGCATATAAGGAACAAATTCCTTATAATTTTTCAGAAAAATTTTTTTCAAAAATTTTAAATAATTATTTTTTCTTTTCCTAAAGGAAAATACAAATCTACTACCTAAATTCTCCCAACTTTCCGGAACTTTTATTTCTTTAATTTATTATTTCTAAATTTTATTTTTAAGTTTCTCGGAATTTGTTTTGCACAAGACTTACGTAGTGATATTTTTGCTCAACGAGCAAGGTGGACTAGACGAACTTGAAAAAAATTGACGGGATTTTGGAGACAACAAAAAGTTTATTTTTTACATTTTATCAATTTATTAATTACTGCCAGTATTTTCTTTAAAACATTCCTGGGTCGGTAAAAAAATTTTTTTAAGAGGAACTGAGGCCCTTATTATTTTTTTTTCAAAAATACATTTTTCTGAAGCGCTTTCTTTTTATTTTTAAATTTTAAATTATATATGCTTTCTTGTCCTTTCTATTTTTTCGCAAAAATTCAGGAGACTTTTCTTTTTATTGCTTTTATATTTGTATATTTTTTTTTAATTTTTTATGAATATTATTTTTAGTGTGTTAAACAAGTTTAGGCTTGATAAAAAATAAAAGAAAAGAAAATCTTCAAAATAAATTTTTTTTTCTCTCAAGCTTTGACTCGAATACACACTGAAATTTATTTTTAAATTTGTATTTACCTTAAATTTTTTTTTAATTTTCTAATTTTCTATTGCCTTTCATTATATACTACTTATACATATATGTATTTTTAAGAAGAGTATCCGATAATAAAAAATTTTTCTAAATTATTTTTAAAAATTTTTTGGTAGGATATATCAATAAATTATTGAAAAAAAATAAAATATTTAAATATTTTTATTTAATTAAAAAAATTTTTTTATTTAAATATTTTTTTTTAATTTAGAAATTAATTTAGAATTGCCAAAAATTAATTTTAAAATTATTTAAAATTCAAAAAAAAAATTTTTTTTTGAAAAAATGTCAACTGGACCAAGTGGACGCTTTGCTCATTTTCTGCATAAATTCCAACTTTACCTGACAAATAACGTTTTTTTTTAATTTAAAAATATTTTTAAAAATTAATTTTAAATTTTTAAAGGTAGAATTTACTGAAAAAGAGAAGAAAGAAATTTATTTTAGAAGAATTTCGTATTTTGCTTTTTTGTTTGTTGTTGTTGTTGGTCTGCCTGTTTGGTAGGGAGGGGTTTTATAAAAGAAAAATAAATTACTTAAACTTTCCGGAAAACTTGATAATTATTATAATAAAATAAAAAAAAGAAGTAGGGAAGATTATTTAATAAACTTTCCGGAAACAAATAAAAAAACCGGAAACATTTTAAGTTTCCGGAAAACTTAATAATTAATAAAAAAGAAGCAGAGAAAATAAACTTTCCGGAAACATTTAATATCAACCTTCCGGAAAATAAAATACAAGGGAATATAAAAGAGTAAACTCCAAACTTTCCGTAAACATTTTCCGGAATTATTTTTGTAAAATAAACTTTTCCTCTCTTTTAAGGTGGATAACGACAACACCTTACAGAGCTTCACTACCCTATTTTCAAGTTGATTTTACTTCTGATTTGGAAAAGGTTGGAATTTATAATAGAAAAAGTTTGCTTCAAGTTTTATTTCAAGTTTTATAAAACTTGAAAAATAATTCAAACTTTCCGGAAGCTCAGTATAATACAAAATAATATTCCAACTTTCCGGAATTGTAATTTTCTATTTTCAAGTTTTAAGTATTTTAATAGAAAAAGTTTAATTAAACTTTCCGGAAGCATTAATAGATAAAATGCAAGAGAGAATATATTACAACTTTCCGGAAACCTTTCCGGAATTGTAATTTACTTAAAAATAAAACTTGAAGCAAAAACTTGAATTTATTTAAAACTTGAAACACGGCCTTTTTTAAAACTTTCTCCAGAGATTGCTTCAATTTTCTCCTAATAAAACTGAAAATGACGAAGACAACAATGTTTGGAATAATTTACAATTACATTCCCTATACAATATTCATCTAGTTTTTATTCACCCTCAACCAGAAAAATTTGTTAATTTATCAAAAAATGTTTTAAGCAAAATTGATTTGTTTACAAAAAAGATTTTGGCAGTTAATGGAGGTGTGGAAAGTGAGGAAGAAAATTTTGATTTTTTAATTAAAAAAAATTTTTTTTTTGTTTCAAGTTAACCTCAGTTCTGAACATTTATGGGATTTTTCTTTGAAGAAAATAATTTCTAAAAATAAAAAATTAACTGACCAACAAATATCTGCAAAGCTAGCAACAGCTTTAGATCGTTATATATTACAGCCATTGGGACCTGAACCTTTACTTAAGATTGCTATATTTTTTGAAAATGAGAAATATGCAAAAAGTGGAGAAAATGGAAAGGAAGAACCTACAATTAGAAGTGTTGATGATAAAGTGGGGCTTTGAATTATAATTTTTAAAACTTGAAGCAAAAACTTGAGAACTTGAATTTAAGTTTAAACTTGAAATGAACATTTATTAATTTACCAACTTTCCGGAAACATTTTCCGGAATTGTAATTTTTATTTAAAATTGAAACTTAAAGCAAAACTTTTTTTACAATTCTTAACTATATTAAAACTTGAATTAATTTTATTAAAACTTGAAACAAAACTTGAATTAATTAAAGTTTAATTTATTAAACTTGAATTTTTAAAACTTGAAGCAAAACTTGAAAACTTGAATTTAAGCTTAAACCTTAATTTATTTAAAACTTGAATTTATTATTTTCCGGAAAGTTTTAAAATATTAATATGCTTTTCCGGAATGCTTTATTTTATTCAAAACTTGAAGCAAAACTTTTTTAAAACTTGAAATTTTTCTATTAAATTTTGAAGCATTTTTGATTTAATTTTAGACTTTGTCAACTGGCCTAGCAATAGCTAGTTGGGGAGGTGTTTGTTTTCACCAAAATGAAGCAGATGAAACAATTTTATTAAATTCAATAATGGGAATTATTTTTAAACAATTATCAATCCCTCCAATTAATAATTCAAATTTAATTGAAACATTGAAGCAACATCAAAAAAGATTAACAATTTATAATTTATTACAAACCCTGAATTCCTTAAATGCTTTAAATGAATGTAAGTTTATTTTAAAAAAGTTTATTTTAAAAAAAATTGAAAAAAACAAGAGAAACAAATGAGGGAAAATATTTTAAATTTTACTGAAACATTTCCGTAATCGCAAGCTTTTTTGAAACATTTCTGGAAAACTTTTTTTCCAGAAAAAAAGTTTATTTATTTTAAAGTTTATTTTATTCAAGTTTTATTTTTGTTTCCGGAAATTTTAATATTATAATGTGCTTTTTCCGGAACTTGAAACAAAACTTGAAAACGTTAATTTATTAAAACTTGAAGCTTCCAGAAAGTTTTAATATTTTTGAAACAAGTTTCAAGTTTATTTTAAAGTTTATTTAAAAACAAGTTTATTTTATTTAATTTTTAGTAGCTTCTAAAATAGAAGATCTAGTAATTTCTGATGAAGTTGCAAGTTATGCTGCTTCAGCAAAATTGTATTTTTTAAAGAGTTATAATAAAATGATAGAAAATGAAGAAGAAATTGGTGAATAAATTTAAAAAAATTAATTCAAAAAATTTATTTAAAAAGATTTCAAATCTGCTTCAAAAGCACGTTATTTTGCTGAATTAGCAAATACACACCATTCTCTACTCGAATTATTAAATTTCCCGTCTGATCAAAAATATGGTAAAAAATAAAAATTAATTTTAGAAAATATTTTTATAATTTTAAGGAGTTTATGTGCCATTGTTTTTCCCGTTACTTGTCCCTTTGCTTCAACCTTTGTTTCTTTTCTGTCTGTTTGTATTTGTTCAATTCAAGGATTATTTAAGGGAAAGAAGGGAGAAAAAGAATATTAAAAAGTTGGAATGAAAAAATTCTGATTTTTAATTCTGATTTGTTTCCGGAAAGTTTTGTTTAAGGTAAGTTTTATATTTTCGTTTCCGGAAAGTTTTATATTTCTGTTCCGGAAAGTTGTACTATTAATATTTCCGGAAAATTCCGGAAGGTTATTATTAATACCTATTCATTTCCGGAAAGTTTTAATATTAATATTATTTTTCCGGAAAGCTAAATTTATAACTGATATATACTTCCGGAAAATTAATACTAATATTGTATACTTCCGGAAAGTTTTAATATTTCTGAAAAAGTTTTAATTCTGATGCATACATGACATTTAAATGTATTTAACTATTTATTAAATTAAATACAGGCGTTATTTTTAACGGAGTCTGTGTTTTACCCAGCAATTTTCTGTGTATAGGCACAGATTGTTGGTAGTCATGGGATAAAAAAAGGTGGCGCTCCCACTTATTTTAATTTTTAATTAAATTATAATATAAACAGATTTTCTTCTTTTCTTAAAAAAAATTTTTTTAACAAAAATTTTCACCTGTCCCCAGAATTACGTAAATTTCTAAACAAGCCAGTCTTATATTTATTAAATTGATTTACCTATTAAAAATATTTTAATTACAAATACACTTGAATATTTTTTAATTCTAATTTATTTCAATGAACAACTAAATTTATTTTCTGCTTGTTTAATATTGCTTCCTAAATATCAGAATTTAAAAAAATCATCAGAATTATTAAAACTTTCCGGAAGGACTTTTCAATATTAATGTGTAAGGAAAAAGTTTATTTATTTTATTTAAAATAAACTTAAGTTTATACACTTAAATTTAAAGTAAGTTTAAGTTTATGCTTAAATTTTACAATTAAGTTTTATTTAAAGTTTAATTATAAACTTAAGTTTACGTTAAGTTTTATTATTGCACACTTAAGTTTTATTTAAAGTTTAACTATAAACTTAAGTTAACGGTTAAGTTTTATTATTATAAACTTAAGTTTATTTAAGGTTTTAATTATAAACTTAAGTTTACGGTCAAGTTTATTATCGCACACTTAAGTTTTATTCAAAGTTTAATCATAAACTTAAGTTTACGGTTAAGTTTTATTATTGCACACTTAAGTTTTATTTAAACTTTTACAATTATAAATTACAATTTGTAAAATTAATTATTCAAAAAGGAAGAGATATTTTAAGCTTTTTTAAACTTTACTCTTTTTTATGCAAATTTAACACACTTGAATGTTTCCTTTTACAATTTTGTGTCAATAATTGTCCTCAGCTTTCTCTTCCTTTTAAAAATTATTTTTAGCTTTATCAATTAGTCTCTCTATTTATTGAAATAAAAAAAAAGAATTTTTTAATTCTAAGAATTTTGTAAATAATGAGAATTTTTAATAGTATCAATGAAAAAAATATTTTTTTCAGTTAAAAAATATTTTTGAAATTTTTTAAAATTTTATTTTTTAATATTTTTTAATTAAAAATATACCTAACTTTTAAATTTTACAAAAATAATATTTTTTTCTAAATTTAAAATTAAAAATTAATAACGTCAATAACTCTATTAATAAATACTAAAATTTATTCTTTTAAATATAAGCTATTTATAGAGTTGTGAAAAGGATTAATACATATTATTATAAGAGATTAAAATTGAAAAATTCTTCTTATTTAATTTTAAATTGACTTTCCAACAATTTACAAATTTTACAAATATTTTATTTTAATTATTTTTAGTATTTTTAGCTTATTACAATCTTCTTTTTCTCTAATAATTTAAACAAGTTGGAACAATAAGTTTCATAATAGAAACTAAGTTTACAACTTGAATTAGGTTTTACAAATTGTAAAAAAAGTTTTACAAACGAAAACAAGTTTTAAACAAGTTTTATAAACTTGAATTAAGTTTACAACCTGAATTAGGTGGTTTTACAAATTGTAAAAAAGTTTTACAAATTGTAAAATGTTTTTACAAATGAAAACAAGTTTTGGATAAGTTTTATAAACTTGAATTAAGTTTACAATTACCTAAATAAGATTTACAAATTGTAAAAAGTTTTTACTAATCAGAAAAAGTTTTAGTAAAGTTTTAATATATCGCTCTCTCCTTTTTAATATTTCATAGCTTGTATTCCTCTTATCTATTAATTCTAATGTTTTACAATTTGTAGTTTAACTTGAGAGAAAAGTAATAAGACTCTTGTTAATTTGCAGTAAAGCTTTTCCTTTACTTTTTAATTTTTATTTCCTTCATTAAAATTTCTCATTAAAGAAATTTTCTCTTTTCTTTTTTAAATTTCATTTTTAGACTTTCTGTAAAATTGAGAATATTTTTTAATTAATTTTTGCGAGTTAAGCACAAAAAACTTTTTTTTTCACCCATCCCAATCTTTATATATTTTTTAAAAAAATCTATTTATTTTTCCCAGATAATATAATTTTATTTTTTTAAGATAAGGGGATATACAGGACAAAAAAATTTATTTTTAAGGTAACCAAGCCTACGAATATTATTTTTATTTAAAAAATTAATTTTCTCTCCAAAAGACTCCCTCAAATTTGTAGTAGCCAAACCATTTCTTTCTCTTTAACAATTCTTGCCATTCTCTCATTTGCCTTTCAATCTTGGCATTAAATAAATATGTATAATTAAATAATACTTAATGGCACGAAATCGCATTTTACTTTAATATTTATATATAAATATTTAATTTTGCAATGTTTCATTGGCAACTATTAGAACGTTTTTCTTAAAAATATTTTTACATGTTCCACCTGTCTGCATTACCTAAGCAATTAATTAAATAAATACTGTAAAGTTTTACAAACTTGAATAATAATCAAGTTTTACAATTATAAAATTATAAGTAGGATTACAATTGTAAATAGGAATTGTAAATAATTGTAAATAAACTTAAGGGTAAACTTAAGTTTATAAACTTAACTTATAAAAAATAAGCTTAAGCTTAGTGTAAATAAGTTTAAAAGTAAGTTTCGTAAGTTTCAAGTTTGTATACTTAAAACTTGATTACCAACTTTATTACGAACAAATTACAATTGTAAATAGGTTTTCAAGTTTATTTTCAGTATTCAAGTTTGTGAAACTTATTTAAACTTAAAACTTGTTTACCAACTTAACAACCTTAAATCTAAGGTTTCCGGAAAATATAAATGTTTCCGGAAAGAATTTATAAATTTTCCAAAAAATGCAAGTTTCCGGAAGTCATTTGTAAATGTTTCTGATGTTTCTGGAAAACATTATGTAAAATAAAAATATACCATAAATAAAAATAAAAAAATAAATTAATTATTAAAACAAACATATCCCCCTCTTTTCTTTCTCTTATTAATTTTTAAAAAAAATATAATAAAAATATTTTTTATATATCTTGTTTATCCGCCTTTCCCTTTATTTTCTCACTAATAAGTATTGACGACAATGCTTTTTTAAGTTTGTATTTTTAAAACTTATTTACCAACTTTAATAATTAGTAGGTTTATAAAAATATTTTCCCTTAAATTTTACTTTAAAAACTTTAAAATTATTTTTTTCTGATTAAATTATTTTTCCCCTTTTAATATAAATTAAATTACCACCTTTCATAAAAAAATTTTTTTGAGACAAAAAATGAGTAGGTTTTAATTAAATATTATTAAATAATGGTAATTGTTTGGTAATAAAAATTATTTATTTTAAGTACAGTTAAAAATCACCTGTTCTTAAAAATTTTTTTTCTCTTAAGAAAAATTAAAAAAAATTTTTCTCTCTTAAGAAAAATCAGAAATCCCAATTTTACTATAAAATTTTCAAAAAAAATTTTTTTCAATTTTTAGTCTGCCCAAATTCTCTTGGTCGAATATTAGATCGCTTATTTAAAAATATAATGGGAACAGTACATTCATCTTCATGTACATCCCCCTCTAGTTCACCTAGCTCTTCCCCTCGCGATCACTTCCACGAGCAACAACAACCTACTTTGGATGAAACGATTAACAGAATATTAAAGTTGGTTGGTCGGAAACCCATGAAAAACAATTATGGAATGCAAAGGGCAGTACAAGTAAGAAAAATCAGAATTTTTAAAAAATAAACTTGAATAGAATATAATAAACTTGAAATAAATAAAATAAACTTGAATTTACTTGAAAATAAGCTTGAATTAAATAAACTTGAATAGAATATAATAAACTTGAATTTAAAAAATAAACTTGCTTTTTAATAAACTTGAGTTTATAAACTTGATTAAATAAACTTGGATTTAATAAACTTGAATAGAATAAAATAAACTTGAATTAATCAAAATCAGAATATCAAAAGTATCAGAAATTAAACTTGAATTAAATTCAAAATATAAAACTTGAATTACCAAATCAGAATGATTTAAATTACAATCAGAATTAAAACTTTAAAATCAGAATTTTTCCCTTAGCTTCTTGCTTCCGCTACCAGTGAAGAAAAAGAACAGATGCTTCAATGTGGCGTTCTCAGACGCATTTGCCTATTAATCAACGAACATTGTAATCTTGATTTACCTCCTCCATCTAGCCCAATTTTTGATTCTTCTCAACAACATCAACGCCACAGTGTTGACGTTTCTGGGATTGAAAATAATTTAAATTTGATAGACAAAAATCAACAAAAAGTAAAAACTGAAGAAACTGAAGAAGAAAGGGAAAGTCGGAAAAAATTTATTGTTGGAGGTAATAAAGCTGGAAAGACGGGAAGTCGTAGGAGTAGTACGCAACAGGCAAAGGGTGCATTAAAAGATGTTAAACAACCCCCCAGAAAAAGGTAATTAAAGATAAACCTGAAATAAACTTAAGATTACAAACTTGAAATAACTTAAGTAAATAAACTTGAAATAAACTTGAATAAACTTGAGATTACAAACTTGAAATGACTTAAGTAAATAAACTTGAATAAACTTGAGATTACAAACTTGAAATGACTTAAGTAAATAAACTTGAAATAAACTTGAATAAACTTGAGATTACAAACTTGAAATGACTTAAGTAAATAAACTTGAAATAAACTTGAATAAACTTGAGATTACAAACTTGAAGCAACTTAATTAAATAAACTTGAAATAAACTTGAATAAACTTGAGATTACAAACTTGAAATGACTTAAGTAAATAAACTTAAGTAAATAAACTTGAAAAAAACAAACTTGAAATAAACTTAAGATTGCAAACTTGAAATAAACTTAAGTAAATAAACTTGAAATAAATTAACTTAGAATTAAACTTAAGATTACAAACTTGAAATAATAAATCAGATAAATACTATTTTACTCAAAATTTAGGCCAGGGAGCGCCGAACCAAATAAATTTAGAGGTATTGGGTATGGAAGAGGATCTACAAAATCAAAGTGGAAGTGAGTATATTTAATTTAAAAATATTAAAAAAATATTTTTTCCCTTAAAGTATGGAAAGAACAGTTGAAGAACGTGCAATACAAGAAGAACATTTAATTTGGCTTTTATCTGCTTTAATTGCCTATTTGTGGGGGGACCGTCTTTTGGAACGTGTTTGTGATTGGGAAATGTCCTTAGGTTATAAGGGAGGTGAACGACGTCGTTCTGTCCCCTCAATGTTTTATGGGGAAATGCCTGCCCATTTGGAGGATGAAATTTTGGCAGAGCAAATATTACAATCCGCAGTTATTCCCTTGCTAGCACATCATTTAAGCAATGATTCGGTTTTAGACGTCTCGCAACATATTCCGTTATATCAGGCAGAGAAAATAATTTTTATTAAATCCAAGTTTATTCTCAGGTTCTCTTCGAGTTAACAGCAGGATTGGCAGGAATCCCGGCAATATTACCCCATTTAGTCAAACAAGAAGAAAAATCTAACGGAAAATCTATCGCCAAAGAATTAATTCCCCAATTTCGAGATAATATGAACAATTACCCAATGTTGGTGAGAGGAATAACGGAAGCAGATATTTCTTTTATGGATTTTATAAGAAAAGTTAATGATTTCTCTGAGGTAGTTTTTAAAAAATATTTACCTTAAATTATTAAGAACGATAAATTATTTTCCGGAAACCTTTATAAATGTTTTCCGGAAATGTTTATATGTAAATATATTTCGGAAACTATTAAATACAAGTTTCCGGAAAAACTTTCCGTAAATGTTTGCGCTTTCCGGAAAGATCTATTTAATTCCGGAAACATCAGAAACATTTTCAAATGACTTCCGGAAACTTTATAAATTCTTTCCGGAAACTTGAATTTTCCGGAAACATTTATATTTCCGGAAACCTATATTTTCCGGAAACTTTTATATTTCCGGAAACCTATATTTTCCGGAAACTTTTACAAATGTTTTCCGTAATGTATTCCTAATCATTAAAAATTCTTTCCCCAAAAAGGTAATTCTTCGAATGTCTCGCCAATACGAAAAACAACTTCCAACTGAAAAACGAGTAAAAACTTCATGTGCTCCCCGCCATTTTTTAAGAGTAAAGAATGGCCAACAAAACGCCGCAGCTTTTCAGCGTCGTCGGCGTTCTCTATTTCCTTCAAATTTAACAACAAATACAACAATAGAACGAAATTCTAATTCTTTTGCAAATATTGCTGAACTTGGAAAATTAAATAATGACAATTCTGAAGAATCCTCCCCATCATCTCCTTTACACAAAACAGCTTCTCATACAGGACTGTCTGAGGGAGTGGGGAAAAATGGAGGTGGGGGAGGAGGAGGAGATTTTCATTCGGCCAGATTAAAATCTAGTAGAGGCATTAGACCAATGACTAGACATATGGATAGAGAAGAAATTGCCAGAATTGATGCCCAATCACCTTTACAACAATACAAGGAATTGTTGAGAGAATTACAAATTAGTACTTGGAAGTAAAAAATAATAATAAATAATTTTAAAAATAAAATAAATTTTCTAGGTTGATTAACGATGCGGGTAAACCAGTCTATGGATTTAGCTTCAAAAAAGAGCTTCGTTCTGTCAATCCTTTCTCGCCTACGCACAAGGATAGAACTAAAAGGATTGCAAAGTAAGAAGACAAAGTTTATTTAATATAAACTTTTTCCGGAAACAAATAATAATTTTCCGGAATTATTACAAGTGTATTACAAGTAAACATTAATTTTTCCTTTCCGGAAGCAAATAATACTTTTCCGGAAAATTGTTTAAATATTTTCCGGAAACTATTACAATTGTATTTCGAGAATATTAATATTTCCGGAACTTCTACAAATATTTTCCGGAACTATCTCTATTTTCCGGAAACAATTACAAATGTTTTTGTATAGTTTCCGGAAACTTTTTTATATTTTCCTGAAGCATCCTTATTATTCTAAAGAATTCAAAATGTTTTCCGGAAAACTTACAAATATTTTTACAAAACAAGTTTATTTACCGGAAACATTTTTAACTGTTTAACCTTTATATTTTTCTAGGGAACTTTCTTCAATGCACAATTCCCTTCCCTTAAATGCTTCAAATGCCATTTTTATTTGTATGGACGAAACTAGATGTGATATGTTAAAGGCATTAATTAAAAATATTTTCCTGGCTGTACTTTAGTATAGGCCCACCGAGATCGGAACTTGTGGTATATACCATTCGATTCGTCTCGCCGAGCTGAGTTCAAATATGCAAGAATTTTCTGCGGGAGACGAAAACTCGCAGAGATACAGGCCCCCGAAAATTGAAAAACCATAGGGGGGACCAAGCACTTTTTTGGGGTGAAAAATTCGAATATGCAAATTATACCTCATTCGAAAGAGCTCGTCGAGCTGAGTCGAATGACACCAAAATCAACGAAATCAGACATGATTGGACAAAGTTATGATCTTTTCTTTTAGCTCCTTACCTATGGCATTTGTGGAGATTTTTCTGCTACGGAGGCCCCAAATACGTCCAGAGCAAGGGAGATAGGAATAGGTTTATGTTACGAGCCCAGACCCAGCGCCCGTAGACTCCCCGCGAGGCGCGTGCCGCAAAACCCCGCGCGAAGCGCGGGGTTTTGCACAAGCGCCTCGCCGACGCCCCATAGGTTTAGGTTTTTTTGTTTTTTTTGTGTCATAACTTTGTCTAATCTTGTTCAATCACGGTGATTTTGGTGTCATTCGACTCAGCTCGACGAGCTCTTTCGAATGAGGTATAATTTGCATATTCGAATTTTTCACCCCAAAAAAGTGCTTGGTCCCCCCTATGGTTTTTCGATTTTCGGGGGCCTGTATCTCTGCGAGTTTTCGTCTCCCGCAGAAAATTCTTGCATATTTGAACTCAGCTCGGCGAGACGAATCGAATGGTATATACCACAAGTTCCGATCTCGGTGGGCCTATACTAAAGCGACCCCATTTTCCTTTCAAAAATTAACTATTAAGGTATTAATAAGTGGCCCGGACGATACTCCCTATCAGAATGGACTGTTCGAGTTTGACGTGTTCTTTCCTGTAAATTACCCGCAACAACCTCCAAAATGCTCATTTCTTACTACTGGCTCTGGTAATGTTCGGTAAGTAATTAATTTCTTTAAACAATTTTATTCTTTCAATTTTTCCTCAGTTTCAACCCAAATCTGTACAACGACGGCAAAATTTGTCTTTCAATTCTGGGCACATGGGAAGGAAGGCCAGAAGAGAAATGGAGTCCTCTATGTTCTCTCCTTCAAGTTTTAATTTCTATTCAGGTGAATAAAATTGTCTTCCGGAGACTTACAAATGTATTCCGGAAACATTTATATTATCCGGAAAATAGGTGTAAAAGTTTCCTGAAAGATTTGTCGTTTCCGCAAACTTTTTCCGGAAGCATTTACAAATGTTTTCCGGAAATATTTATATTCCGGAAACATTTGCAAAAGTTTCCGGAAAATTTACAAATGATTTCCGGAAGCATTTATATTTTACGGAAAGTTTTACAAATGATTTCCGGAAACATTTACAAATATTTTCCGGAAAGATTATCTTTTTTCTGAAACATTTATTTTTCCGGAAACATTTGTAAAATTTCCTGAAAATATAATTGTTTCCGGAAAAGTTTCTGAAAAATCTAAATGCTTCTGGAAACATTTATATTTTCCGGAAACTTTTACAAATGTTTTCCGGAAACTGTTACTAATATTTTCCGGAAAACATTTGTAAAAGTTTCCGGAAAATATAAATATTTCCGGAAACTTTTTGTTTTCCCTGTAATTTATTACCAACCAATTTTAGGGACTCATATTTGTCCACCAGCCCTATTTCAACGAGCCAGGATTTGAAAAAGGTCAAGGAACTACAAAAGGAGACGAAAATTCTCGAAAATACAATTTACACATAGAAAATGCAACTCTAGTCTATGCAATATACGAACAATGGAAAAATGGCCCAATTTATTTTCGGGATATAATTAAAAGACATTTTTGGGCTAAAAGAGAATCTGTGTTAAAACAGGCAGAAAGGTGGCTACAACAAGTTGTGGATGAAGTTAGAAATAATAGTGGGCCTAAAAAGGAGGAACTTAATGGAATGGTGGAAAGTGTTTTTAGTAGTTCTAATGTACAGGTAGAATATTATAGTGATCGAAAAAAATTTTTTTGAAAAATTTCTGAAAAATTTTTGAAATTTTTTTTGAAAAATTAAAAAAAATTTTTTTTATAAGGTCTTAATAGTCTATTTACGTAATTCACCTCAAAATAAAACAAGGAAGCATAAATTCTTTAAATGACATTTTAATGTTGGGATTAAGTTGACGCTTGGGTTTAAGTATTTTTAAATTCCTTTATTAATACACTAAAAATATTTTTGTTTCGTCATTTGGTAGATTACGGTGTTTGATGTATTTTATAAACTTTAGACTTGAAACTTTATATTAAATGTATATTAAGAATTCCGGAATGTATAAATACTTTCCGGAAAATGTATAAATATTGTATTTTATTATGCTTAACAATTTCGGAAACTTTATTTACAATTTGTAAAAATTTCCGGAAAATAGATTACAAATTGTAAATAATTTTCCGGAATTATACCGAAAAGTATTTACAATTATTTAAAGTTTAATATAAGAATTCCGGAAAATAGATACTTTCCGGAAAGTTTATAAAGTTCTCCTTTGAGTTTAATAAATATATAACAATTCCGGAAAATTTAATTCTACAAATTCCGGAAAATAGAAAATACCTATATTTTCTCCCTGATACATTCCAGAAATCTTTAAATATTTCCCGGAAATATAAAAGATGTGAATTAAGTTTGACTATTTTATTAAAATTATTATTTTAGCGCCAAACTGTGCGTAAGCTTGTTGACGCCTTTCGTGACATGCAGAATCCTTTACTGGAGGAATGCTAAAGAGCTTTTTTTTTGATTTAATGAAACAAGACGTGAAATTGTTGATAACAAAAATATTTTTTAAATTAAATTTTATTGTCCCAGACGTCCAAAAATCCCAAAAAAATTTTATTTTTGACGTCAAAAAATTTTATTTTTAAAAAATAAATTTATTTTTAATTATTTTATACTAGTATTACAAATTTAAAAAAATATAAAAAAGTATTAAAATATCCATTAAAAAGTCATTAGCGTCACAAACTTAAAAATCTCGCGCATTTCTTTGGGCATAATCCTAAAAATGTCAAATCATCCATTTAATTCCTCCTTTTTATTTTTATATTACTTAAATACCCCCACTTTATCTATTTCAGAATTAAAGTTTTATATATTCTATCAGAATTACAGCATTTTATTTATAACGATAGACTGTATATTTTAAAATAAAACTTTCCGGAATATGCTGTAAAAAAGTTTATTTAAATGTTAGTGAAGCAGGCGGAATTAATTTAAAAAACTTTGTATAATACATACTGTAGAGTTAAGTTGAATATTTAAAACTTGAATATTAACTTTCCGGAAACATTTATTTGCAACTTTCCGGAAAGTTGTATTTATTTTTCAACCTTCCGGAAAGTTGTATTTATTTTTCAACCTTCCGGAAAGTTGTATTTATTTTTCAACTTTCCGGAAACATTTTATATAAGTTTATAATTATTAAAACTTGGAGTATTCTAGTAATATTCTAAAACTTTCCGGAAAAAGTTTAATTCCGCTATTTAATAATGCAACTTGCTTCAACCGGAATAAGTTTAACTCTATTAAACTTAACAATTTTTATCTCCCTTATAAAAACAAGCTTAACGACTAATGTAATTAAAGTAGCTCATTTACAGCCTAATAATCCAAATATAATAAACGAGGTAATTTTGGTAGTATTTCTAGTCTAATTTTCACCAAAAAAATTTTTTTAAGCCCCAAGTTCTCGCAATGTGTCATACCGACATGAAAGAAAGGGCCATCTTGCCTCCTTCCATCAACTTCCAGGCAAATTATTTTTGAAAATATTTTAATGAAAATTAAATTTATACATTTGAAGGTGATTACAATGGAATCTTGTAATCGTCTAAGTGGAGTAGAGCACGCCGCTTTCCTTCATTATATGCGAAATGCTAGTGTTTACTTCGGTCCTGGATGCAATAACGGTTAAACTTAAGACCTTTAAGAACCTTAAAACTTTTAAAACCCTTAAGAAATGCTTGTGATTGGACGCCTAGCTTCTCGTTGGAATGGTAGATTGTTAAAAAAATTTTTTAAAATTTAAAATCCAATTTTTATCAAGTTCCAATTATTGCTCACCTCTCTGGAGATGACGCTCTTTCTGACCGGACGGGTGAATTTGAATAGAAAAATTCCAGAAAAATTAAAAAATAAAAACTTAAAGTATTTGACACTCTCGGCTCGGTAGCGCTAACCTCAGCAACTGAAATGGCTAGAGCAACCCAAACATATATTCAACTTTATGGGTGGAAACAGGCAAATTAAATTTAAAATTAAAAAATGAGGAATACTTAATTTTTAAATTTGTCAGGTCGGACTAGTCAAAGCAAGTGTTAACTTTGAACGTCTTTCCCTACATTCCTTAAAAAGCTACTTGAAGGATGCTCAAATTGAAATTAATGTTGAAATAGAATTGGACCCTTATGTAAGTTTACAACTAAAATAAATTTGAAATTGTAAAGATAAATTACAAACTTAAAAAAATGTTCAAAAATAAATAAACTTGAATTGTAATTATAAATATAATAACATTATAAAATAAACTTGAAAAATTACAAACTTGAAAATAATAAACTTAGATTTTAAGAATAGATTAACACAGTTATAAAAATAAACTTGAATTGTAATTTTACAAATAAATACAAAAATAAACTTGACTGACTATACATGAATATAAATTACAAACTTGACAAAAATAAACTTGAATTGTAATTATAGATATAATTAGGTACATTAAAATAAACTTGAAATTTACAAACTTAAAAATAATAAACTTGAATTGTAAAAATTATAAACTTATCAAAAATAAACCTTAATTGTAATCTTAAATAAATTACAAAAATAAACTTGGCTATAAATAAATATAAATTACAAACTTGACAATAATAAACTTGAATTGTAATCTCACATATATTTAATTTAATTATTAAAATAAACTTGAATTGTAAAAATAAATTACAAACTTAACATTGATAAACTTAAAATTCCACAGATGACGCCAGATGAAATTATCGCCACAGGAAAATTAAAACAATTAAGAAATCGAGCTAGAAGTGAATTTAAAAATAATTAATTATAAATTACAATTCTCAATTTAAGTAATTATTGTTGAGATGGGTATGGATTTGCATAGTTCAAAAAATTTCATGATTGCTGCTCACCGATCACATATGAAAACATCCGGTTATTTCAGAAATATATTTAAAATAAATTTATAATAAAATTTAGAGTATGTCTATATCATTCCATGGCTAGCTCACGTAAATAAAAATTACATTTAATTTTAAAATAATCCCCTCAAGATGCACGACCATTATCCTTGGGAAGCTAGTAACGTAGAAAAACAAGAAACTAAAACAGCATTCGATGATGCAGTTGTAATTACTGCTCACGGTTATGACAAGAAGTTTATTGAAGACTTTGAGCAGCGCTTTAATAAAATGACTGGAATAATCAGCAGCTATGTAATATTATGAATTTAGTTGATATAAATTACAAACTTGAAAATATTTCCGGAAACAATACACTAAACTAGAAATTACAAACTTACCGGAAACAAAAATTACAAACTTAAATTTAATTAAAGTTTTCCGGAAAGTACTAATTTATAGTTTCATCTATTCAATTCTTTCCGGAAAAGTTTTCCGGAATTTTTATATTTCAAGTTTGTATTTAATACTTTAAGTTTGCTCTTTCCGGATGCGCTTTTCCTATATTTTCCGGAAGTTTCTAAATTATTCTGAATTCTGTTTTAAATTAAAGTTTTCCGGAAAGTTTATTAATTACAAACTTCGCCATGTTTCCGGAAAAGACAATAACCTTAAATTACAAACCTACCGGAAATAAAAATTACAAACTTAAATTTTAATTAATATTTTCCGGAAAGTTGCATATTAATGTTAATTTTAATTTTTTTCCGGAACGGTTTTATATTAAAAGTTTTCCGGAAAAAGAAAAAGAATATTAATCTTTCAGTATGCAACACTTAGCTATATGTCTCTATACGACGCGCTTTTCCTATACGGACTGGCCGTTCGCGATGCTTATGAGGAAACAAAAAATCAGTCAATGTACTGTAAAACCTTTATGAAAATAAAATAAAAATTAAAATTCCACAGATTTATGGATGGATCGTTTATATGGAAGAAGGTAGAAGTAAAATAAATAAAAATACAAAATAAAATATAGATGACAGCCCGTCAATTTATTGGAGTTACAGGACAAGTATTGATGAACAACAAGGCTATCAGGGTGCCTAGTTATGGTAATACACAAACTTACTTGAAATTACAAACTTGAAAATTAAAATAAACTTGAAATAATAAGTAGAAAAATACAAGACTTTTCCGGAAAGAATTTTCCGGAAACTTTAAATTAAAATAAACTTGAAATATAAAAATTCCGGAAAAGTTTCCGGAAAGAATTTTCCGGAAAGAACAAACTTAAGATTACAAACTTGATCTATAAAAATTCCGGAAGACTTTTCCGGAAAGAATTTTCCGGAAGGAGCAAACTTAAGATTACAAACTTGAAATATAAAAATTCCGTAAAACTTTTCCGGAAAGAGCAAACTTAAGATATTAAATACAAACTTGAATTAAAAAAAATTCCGGAAAACTTTTCCGGAAAGAAATAAATAAATGAAACTCCTTTTTGTAGCAACCTATCACGTTAAAAACGGAACAATGAGAATTGTTGTAGAATTAACTGCGCGACTTGGAGATAAACACAAATGTGCAATGTCAGAAAATGATTGTAGCGAGCATGTAATGAATATAAAAATAAATAGAATTAATTAAAAATTAATTAAGGTTGCTCATGAAGTAATGAGTCATTATTGGAGCAGGCATGTTAATTTAGAAAGATAAGGGAATTTTAAGGGAATTTTAAAGAATTTTAAGGGCATTTTCAAGAAAAATCAGAAATATTTTTTAAATTAAAGTTATGACGGATTTATGCCTCAAGACATGCCAAAATGCGGATTTGACGGCGGTCTCTGTGACTATACCTCTGTCTATATGGTTGTTGGTATACTCATCTTTCTTGGGGGTATAGAGATGATTAACTAATTAATTAAGAGAATTTCAAAATAAATTTCAGTAATTATTCCTCTTGGTTATCTCCTCTATGTGAAAGAGTTTTGTTTAATTTAACTCCATTTCCCCTAATTTTCTCCCTAGGAAGGAAAGAATGCTTTACGACATGACCTGGCGCATTCCTCGAGAGCAAGTTCGGCTACTGGAAGAACGTACAAGGAAGTCTGGCTCTACCTCTGCTCACAGCAAAACTTTGTCTCACGATAGTTCGTCCCTTCAAGGAAGCATAGGCTCTAGAGCTAACAGCCGCCTATCAGCTAAACAAGCTGTAGCTAATGGGGTTAAGTGCTCCTACAAGAGATATGCACAAACACGTTCAGTAACCTTTAATAAACATGATTTGGCTCGTTTGAAGGAGTTGAAAGTTATGGAAAATGAAAATTTGAATAAGGTAGGAAGAAGGCTAACTAATAAGGCTAACCCTCTTTATTAGAGACTCTCTATTGGAGACAAACTAGACTTGGAGGCTTAGAGTTTAGCTTCAAGACTTGGACTTGGAGGAAGCTGGGAGACTAACTAGGCTATTAGAGAGGCTCAACAGTAGCCTAACTATTCGAGAGACTCCAATCACTTTAAAATACGTTTCTTTTAATTTAAGTGTCTAGGAGGGCTGTCCAAGCGATATCCTCTCAATTTAAGATGGACCTCATTATAAGATATATTTTTCAGCCCCAAGGAGTTTATCTCATAGTTAGGTTCAATCATCTTTAAGAGATAAACTTTTCCACGCCTAAGGGGAGTTCTTATAGCGAGGTCCAATCATCTTTAAAAAATTTTTATTTTTAAAGTTCTATGGAATTTCTTTCAATCAACAAAACGAATTTATTGTGCTTTGGTTACTCTGCCAGCGAGGGAGTTTGGAAGTGAGAGAGATTTAAATAATAATTTCGGATTAATTAAAAACTATTCTCAGGATGTTCTGTTCAACGAAGAATTAAAAATCAGTCGGAATTTTCAAGTTTCTTTTGTAAAAGATGTTGTCAAGGTAGACAAAGGACAAATATAAGGGCAAAAATAAATTTAAAAAATTCAAAGGGTCTCTTCTTCCTCCACACTTCAACAATTAAATATCACGGCTTTTTATGCCTACAAAATTGCCTCGTCGATTCCAACTGGAATATTAAATTAACAAATTTTGTTACTGAAGAGATTATTGGGGATAAATTGCGGCATAATGAATTAAAATATATAAGTGAAAGTGAATTGATGAGGATGAAAAAAGAAAGGGAGAGAATTAGAGAGAAGGAAAGGCCAAAAAAAGGTGGAGGTAATAATGAAGATGGAGGGGGAGGAGGAGATGATGGAGGTGAAGAAGGAGGTGGGGGTGGTGGAAGAAAAGGAGGTGGAAGAAAACGAGCAGAAAAACGAAGGGAAAATAACAATACAGAATCGGAAAGTAAAGGAAGTGAAGAGGAAGATTTGGCTAATGTTAGAATGAGGGAGAAGAATACTACTAAAAGTAGGGAGAAAATATATATAAATTTAATTTTAGGTCTTAAGTTTGCGAAATAAAACATTCCGGAAATTTAATTCGAAAACTTAAGTTTGAACTTAAGTTTAAGTCTAATAAAATGCTTAAATTAATATTACAAATTCTGATTTAAATTTACAATTAATTACAAATCAGAATTACAATTAGATCAGAATTATAAAAAATAAACTTGTTTTCAAGTTTACAAACTCAATTTAATTTATAATTATAAATCAGAATTACAACTTTAAATAATAAGCTTACTCTCAAATTTACAAAATTAAGTTTACAGAGTTACAATTAAATCAGAATTAAAATATCAAAAATAAACTTGAATAAAATTTTCTAAATAATAAATAAACATTTCTTAAATTTTCAGAATTTATTCAACAAGCACCAGAAATAATTAGAGAATTTATTTCTACAAAACACATTCCACAAGGGTCACCTGCTTCGGATATGTACGGACTTGGAATGGTTCTATACCAAATTTTGTTTAAATTGGAACCCTTTTATGAACGAAATTTGCCTCCTTCGAGTGATTGAGAATTTTTAAAAAT